TTTCTTTCTTTCTTTCTTTCCTTCCTTCCTTCCTTCCTTCCTTCCTTCCTTCCTTCCTTCCTTCCTTTCTTCTCTCTCTCTCTAGTAGGCTCCACGCCCAACGTGGGCTTGAATAATGACCCTAAGATCAAGAGTCAGTTGCTCTACTGACTGAGCCAGCCAGGCACCCCTCACATTTATTTTTATATGGTGCCCAGAAAATTGTGAGCATCCTAGAATGTCCACTGATATTTTTGCCAATTTATTGAATACTTCTCAAATAGGATACTTTTTGTTAACACATTCTGCTTTGTATCTTGAACTAGTAAGATGTTCTCTGCTCATCTCCATTTAGTTCTATCCCAGGATGACAGGATTTTGTTGTTTGTTTTTTAGATCTCATGGGCTCCTGGTAGACTACTTGAGTCCAGGACAAGACCCCTACATCTCTGAACAAATAGCCTCATAAACCAAATAATTGCAGTGTAAACTCAGGCTTCCTGTGGCACATGAATTTTTTTTGTTGTTATCAATTTGGCTCTTTTTATTTTGTGAGAAATTATTTGTTTTTTAGATTGCACGTGATAAATCTCTCTAGGATATTGCGGACAAATTAATGACCTGCTCAAAGCCTGACTAGGGTAATAGAGTTCTTAGGGATGTGAGGTTTTTTTTTTAAGATTTTATTTATTTATTTGCGAGAGAGAGAATGAGAGAGAGAGAGAGAAAGAGAAAGAGAGAGCATGAGAGGGAAGAGCGTCAGAGGGAGAAGCAGACTCCCTGCTGAGCAGGGAGCCCGATGTGGGACTCGATCCCAGGACTCCGGGATCATGACTTGAGCCGAAGGCAGTTGCTTAACCATCTGAGCCACCCAGGCGCCCCTTAGGGTAATAGAGTTCTTATAGGTAGCATGGTTTCACTTATTTTATAGTATTTTCTGATGTTGTCTGGCAATATAAGCCTCTGAATGTAGTAAGGATTGTAAAATTTACTCAACAGATGCATCAGCCATTGCACAGCTAGTTTGGGGGAAAAAAAGCATTCTATGTTCTTTCAAGCAGGCAAAAAATAGCTGCACGACAGAGCTTGGGTTCCCCTGAAAAAGGTTTAAATGCTATTAAATAGACAGTCTAGAAAAATTAGATTTCACTAAAACATAAGTATTGAACCTAAGAGATAATAAAATATTTGAAATATGAAATACTAGCTCATAGGATTAGCTTCCTCTATCACTATTCATTAGTATTTTTAAATGTCACTGTTAGACTGTGGGGCTCAATGGAATTTTGATCAAAATATCACATCCTGCATTTTGCTATTTAATTAAAGAAATTATTCCTGAAGAGTTTGCTTTTCCCAGTGACACTAAGTGTTTAATGTTCATGCAGCAACCTTGAGAACGACTCTTAATAGCATCACTGCCTTTTTGATGTCACACTTTGATAGTAATTCATTTAATTCTCACAACTACCTTATAAAATAGCCACAGAGAGGGTAAGTGACTCATTCAAGATCCCACTGTTAATGATATAAGCTGGCTGATTTGAACCCAAGCCATCTAGCTTCAGAATTCTTTGTTACGCTAGCTGCTTCACCTAGCTTTTTGGTTTTATTTTCTCTCACTAATCTTTGTGAGCTTGAATCATCGTGGCAGATGGCTCTTGTGATTCAGTAGGAAGATCTATAGATCTACACACACGTATGGATTTACCTAGAGCATTCTGTTTTGATAGGGAATCATTTTCTTTCTATCTGTATTTATGATTGGCAAATTTTAGTGTTTGTGTAGAAAATATTAATTTGCAGATAGCTACTAGTTTATAATAAGTAGATTTTGGCAGTGGATTTGCATTGATTATTGGTTTAATTTTATTAATTTTGCTTCATGGAGTACATTTGTCTAGTGCTTGAAGGGATGTTTTCACTGATTAAATCTGAAAGATAATATGGGAAGATAGAGATGAGCATTTTCCAAAGATGAAGTTACTGCGACACTAGTAATCTCAAACACTGCTCATTTAAACACGTTGCACTGTATCAGGAATGCTTAAAAAGTGTGCCCTTTTAGCATAGAGGAAGATATCTCATGAAATTGCCGGGGCTCTACTAATGTTCTCTTTTGTTTAGATGAATAATGTGACAACAGAGTATTGTCTTGAAATCGTAAGAAAATTTGAAGTTTCAGAAGAAAATAAGGCGAAAAATGTTCTTGGCATAGAAGGTAAAATAACCAATATTCTTTTTTTTTTTCTCTTCCTTTCAAGATTTATTTAAATTCATGTTAGTTCACATATAGTGTATTATTAGTTTCAGGGGTAGAATTTAGTGATTCATCAGTTGCATAAAATACCCAGTGCTCATTATGTCACATGCCCTCCTTAATGCCTGTCACCTGGTTACCCCATCCCCCCACCCAGCTCCTCTCCAGCAACCCTCAGTTTGTTTCCTAGAGTTAAGAGTCTCTTATGGTTTGCCTCCCTTAAAATAACCAATATTCTTAATTTCCCATTTCTTAATTCAGTCTGCTAAGTTAAATTTTTAGAAAAAGAAATCAGGAGATATTCATGGATTACAGACGATTCAAATAAAACTCACAATACAGCATATTTTACTATCCCACCATGTATATGATAGATGTCAAGAAATATTTGGACTTTTCTCAAATGGCTAATTTTGGAAAGCTTCAACCTGGTAATTTCAAAAGAGGAAATCTGGTCTTAAAATAACTAAACTATGACACTGGCGACTTGAAAGTACATGTTTCTTTAAAAATATTGGCAATGAACTTGTTTTACCTAGTTGGTAGCTGTGGAGAAGTTGGAACCACAAATTTTGTTAATACAACTATTTCATTATATAGTTGAGGAAAGTGAGGCTCTCAAAGAAATTAAGTAATTTGCCCACAGTTATATAGTCAGAATCTAGCTTCTGGATCTTACACATAATTGTGAATATAGCTACATGTATGTATAAGTTATATGTATTTAAAATATGTGGGAAAATAAACTGCATGGTGGTACCCAACAGGAGATCAAGTCCCAGGCAGAACCAACAATCTTAGCGAAAGACCACTGGGGCAACCCGTTGCCTTCAAGAGCATCCAAAGCTATGGTTTATCTTACTATTTTAGATTGTTGGCCTTCTGTTCCTCCCGGCTTTCAGGCTCAGTGTGGACAAGAGGATCTTGATACCCCCGGTTTAGTTCCTGGGGTGGAGGGTAACTAAAAGAAAGGAATAGTTTAAAATTTATATCATTTTTAAAACAATTAGAGAAGATAAACTAATTTGGGCCTTTTCTTTACTAAGAAATGAACGTTTTCCTTGGTGAAGCCCCCCAAAATGGAATTAAACATGATTTCTACATTATGGACATAAGGATAGGCATGAAGAAATTCTCCAGAGACTTAGAGGATATTTACAGACACAGTTTTACCCACATAATTCTCGAAGACCTGAAACAATCTACCCTGATGATTCCACTTAGGTACTTGTGGATCATTCCTGTATTTATTCATATATTAATGAGTGCCTCTTCTACTCAGGTATTATGTTTTGAAAAACTGTGGGAAACTGATAGGGTTTTCTACATAATATGTATTTGTTTATTTGAATATAGCTGATACACAATGTTAGCTTTGGGTGTACAACTTAGTGATTTGACAAGTTTATATATTACGCTGTGTTCACCACAAGTGTAGCTACTGTCCGTCTTGTTACATCACTCTTACGGTATCGTTGACTGTATTCCTCATGCTGTGCCTTGTATTCCTGTGATTTGTTCATTCCAGAACTGGAAGCCTGTACTCCCTCTCCCCAGCACCCATTTTACCCATCCCCCACCACGACCGTCAGCTTGTCCTCTGTATTTCTGCATAATCTTTAAACACTATTTTAAAGTTATAAAAAGTTGCCAGCTATTAGCAGCATCTTCCCAAACCAATTTCATAGTCAAATAATCACACTCCGAATTTAGGCTGTGCCTAACTTTTGACCTGCTGCCTCAACTATGGCACTAACAATACTGTTTTTTGAATTAATAACTTATCCAGTTGCTGGTTGATCGGTGTAGCACTTTGCGTCAGTATGGCTTTAACATTGCATCAGTCTCCCATTAGATCACGCTACATAATCATAGCTTGAGTTCAGTAGCTACTGAATGGCTTTGCAGTAAGCCCTCTCCTACGGACTCAATCAAAATTTTTGGAAAGTCGACTGATTTTTCTGTACGTTATGTTTAAACTGCTATTCCCCAGTCACTTTTCAGTTTCTGACACTCTTTGACCTGAAGCAAATCTCATTGCCTTAGTATTCCTCCCAGTAGCTGTCCTGAGTGTAAATAAGCTAATCACTATGATCTCTGTTGTCCCCGGTGGGGTCGGTTAAGTACCTATGCCTGGAAAGCTACAGTACTTCACTCTCTTTCTTCCAAAGGGTTCACGAACTTCATGCGTAGTCCTGCTTGTGACATATTTAACCCACTGCACCATGAAGTGTACCAGGACATGGATCAGCCGCTGTGCAACTACTACATCGCTTCCTCTCACAACACATACCTGACTGGGGACCAGCTCCTTTCTCAGTCCAAAGTGGATATGTACGCCCGGGTGCTACAGGAGGGCTGCCGCTGTGTGGAAGGTTCGTGCCTCGTCTGAGCTCCGCTGCGTGTTGATGAATGTGCCCTTTAGGCAGTCAGTCAAGTCTAGACAGGGGAGACCTGAACTATGCACTCACACGAACCAGAACCATTTTTCTGCTCATTGTAAAGTCATTCTTAACTCGTAATGCTCTCTGGTTCCTCCTTACTGTCCAGTCAGGAGGGAAAGAGAGATGAACTAGAAGTTAGGAAACACACCCTGCAGTTGCTGAAAGATTGTGATGAAAATGAAAGCTTTCCTCGAAAGATATTTTTGATTCAACAATGGCAAACGTAGTTCAGGGTAACTCTTTGCTTTCAAGACACTTTCTGATCTCTCAGTCAACAACATTTATTAAATTTCTACTGGGATCTTGATTGTGGGGACATAGATCCAGGTGTCTGTCTGCAAGGAGCTGACAGTTTAGCAGAATGGGTGGCCATTAAAAACAGTAGGACAGTGTGAGAATTCCACCAGGCCAATCATATACATGGTGAAGAAGTGGTGGTATGAAGAGTAAGGTGTGAGATCAAATGCGATGAGAAATAGGTAGGCTGGGAAGGTGAACTTGGGTCAGTCATGAAGGGTTAAAGGGCTTGAGGAATTCTATCTCTAGCCTTTGGTAACAAGGGTCCAATGAAGGGTCTTAATGCCTATAGTGATATGATCAGACTTGTAGTTGAGAAAGATCACTTGGGTCACCATGTAGGAGGACAATTTTTTTTAGAATATGTGTTTGTGGAGAGAAACAGGGGTGAAGCTAGAGAGAGCAAGGAGAATGGTAGGAAGGCTCTTAACGACAATTCAAAGGAAGGGTTGTAAAAACTTGGACTAAGGGAGGAGGAGAGATGATTACATCGATGATAAAGAAGTCAACTCAGCAGGACCTGGTGCAAGAAGTAAAGGAGGGTGAGAGCTGTAATGAGTGAATGGTGCCACAACCGACCGTGGGGAATCTAGGGGGAAGAGCATCCACGAGTTCAGTTTTACATCATTTGAGTTTATCGTCACTTTGTATCATTCACATGGACATTTTTGTCAGCCAGTTGGATATTAATATCCGAGCAAAATGGAAAGATCCGGGGAAGATAAAGATTCCATAGTTCTGAGTTTTGTATGTGTTAGTTCAAGTCTTGAAAGTGTACAAGATCACCCCCAGAGAGGAGTGGACAAGCGAATGAGGCCTGAGGAGTTAGTTAAGTGATCCAGCAGTTAGATGTAGGAAGAGCAAGGGGAACCAATGGGGACTAACACAGAATGGTCCCTGGGACCTGAGGGATGAAATGGTCAAAAATGTCCCATGCAACAGAAAAGTAAGTTAAGGCAAAGACCAATTATCGAGTCTGGTTACATTTGACACCTGGAAGGTTATTGGTGTCTTTTGATAGATAGTTTTGGTGACATGCTAGTGGAAAGTTGGGGGTAGCTGCTGTGGGTTAGTCACTAGGCATTCTTCTGCATTTGAAGAAAACTGGGGGATACAGTTTGGGGAGGTTTTAAGACTTGGAAGAAGAGGAAATGAGGACCCAGGTTCTGTTTTTAGATGGGGGCCGAGATTTTGGAAGGGTTCAAACCTGATAGCCTCTCCTTTCTCTGGGAAGAGAGCATCATCTACTAAGTGTAAAGTGGGTAGAAGTCGGCTTGGGGGCTTAAGATCAACAAACAATGGGAAGGGAGTTGACAAGATAAACTGGGGAAGTCCTAGTTAATTTCAAAAACAGTCTTAAAACTGTCCTTTTGTTCTACAAAATCTGCATGCTTAGACTCCTCCCAGGAGATTAGATATAGGAGCTGTGAAGTAGATTATAGAATTGATCCAAGCCTCTAGGTTCCTTTTTTTAAATTTTATTATTTTTTAAAAGATTTTTATTTATTTATTGAGAGGGAGAGAATGGTAGAGAGAGAGCAGGAGAGGGAAGAAGGTCAGAGGGAGAAGCAGACTCCCTGCTCAGCAGGGAGCCCGATGCGGGACTCGATCCTGGGACTCCAGGATCATGACCTGAGCCAAAGGCAGTCGCTTAACCAACTGAACCACCCAGGCGCCCCAAGCCTCTAGATTTCTAAGTCGTATAAAATATCATCAAGGGTGAGAGCCCTTTTAAGTAATTAGTCGGTAGGTCCTTGAGTCTTAGGAAGAGAAGTGAATAAGGGGCTACAGAATGAGGGAAGACTTCCAAGAGATAGAAAGATGGAGAAAGTTGTCATCACACATACAAAAAATAAGAACAGAGAATTGTTATCACAGAGTGGGATTTTGGATGTAGTTACAGGTGATGATTGTATCCAGGGTGTGTCATGGGTGAGCATGAATGAAGAGTCGAGATAAGATTGTTAGCATTGGGAAGGTCAAAGCTAAGAGATTGAGTAAATCGCCCACAAGGACTTTTAACTCACAAAGGATGTTGACAGGTAGATTCATTATTAAAAATTTTAAAGATTAAAAATTGGAGATTAAAAACTGTAAGCCAAATACTTAAGTGCAAAAAGAATGCTATAGGAAAGGCACTTGGAAGATGCCAGAAAGGTAGAGTTGGATAAAGTGAGGTTCAAAAGTGGGGGAATTTTTTTTTTTTTTAATGAATAGAGGAGAACAATTATTTAAAAGTAGCAATAAAGGCCTAGAGCATGCCTTCTGGTCTGTGAGTTATACAAAAAAACATCTGTGGAGAAAGGTAGTGTCCTCCAACGCAAGCTGATTGTTAATCAAGATAAGGAAGTTGAAGGAGAACTCCAAAAAGAGTCTGATGATAAAAGGGAGTTTGTGATGGAATGGAGATTCCATGGAGCAAAGAGGAATCACATTTTGGTGGGGATGTGCTGGGGGTTAGCAGTGGATAATAGGTTCTTAGGATAGTGGAATAGTGTAGGGGAAATGAATAAAGGAGTAGGGTGATAAGACTCGTAACTGGATGGGTCTTTGTCAGTGAGTTTCTGGCATGTTCCAAGGGTTAATTAACATTTTAAAACTGAACAGGAAGTAAAAACTGTCTCCATACAAAACAATTAGAACCACTCCAAATTTAGTGTTCTGGAAATTTATGCTTTAAGACATGGCATTTTTGCAGTCAGTTCAGAGAACACCTACTGACATGAGTGACTGACAATTGAGTAGCTTAAACAACTGAGTAATGAGGATGCTTATATAATATTAACATAAAGAAAAACCTTTTAGAAGGTCTCGAGATGACATTCTGCTCTCAGCCATTATTCAAGCCTTTGTTCGTTCAGCACTCAAGAAGTTTTACGTGTCTGACATGCATAGAAGTTCCCTGGGCACATACCCTCATTGGATTCACAGTGATGGTTGCCTATCATTTTAAATGGTGACATGTCCTTGGAGGCCAGGTATGGAAAATGACTTGTAATGACTCAGTGACAGATCGTTAACTCCAGACCATTTTGCAGTTTTGTTAACTGCCATGTCCTGTGCCTTATTTCTTTTGCTTTTCAGGTCTTTCAGGTACCCAGTCTTCCCTTTTTTGGTTTTGCTCTCCAAAATCAGGGTCTTACCCAAGCCTAACCTTGTTCCCATGATCAGCTCCTTATACTGAATCAGAACATCTCACCTCCAGCTTTGTTTGGGGTATTAAGAAAGGAAGTTATCTGATTAAGACAATTTATAGCAAGGTAAAAATGATTTTTTTTTTTAAGGTACAGATGACTTTTAATCTTAGTTTTTTTTTAGGGATCTTTTAATTTTAAAATGTGAGCTTTTAGAGATTGTGTGCGGTAGATGATATTGAACATAGACCTTCTCTTGTGTCTCCCTTCTTTCTTCCTAACTGCCAGTCACCAAAGTAATAGAAAGAAGCTTTCTAAAAGCTTACCTTGCTCCAGATCTTCACACCAACTGAGAATATGTACAGCTCTGGTGTAACTTTAAAGGACATGCAATCTCTCCAATACCTCCCTCACCAGCTTGTATCTGCAAATCCCTCCCCTGTTTTTTGGCTTACTTGAAGTTATGACTATTGGAATAATCTGTAAGTGGGCGGTAAAAGTCAAACTCCTATTCCTAGAAGGTTTTTGTTGAGGAGAAGAATTTATATTTATTTGAGGGATTTGGTCAGCTTTGTCTGGGATCTATTTCATGTTCAAAATTATGGTTATCACTTCAGCTTTGAATGCACTGTAGGAAGGACAGAGGAACTACTATGATTTCAGCCCTTTTTGTGAGCTAGGTCCTGACTGAGTGCTCTCCATACATTCTCATGTGATTCTTACAACTTAAGGGGGTGGAATAACCTCAAGAGGGCACCCCAACTTGGAGTGGGTGAAGGGGCTCAAGTTCCCATAGCCAGGAAGCTTGGGAGCAGAGCTTTGAACTCAAGTTGATTTAACTCCCCTACTCCACTGTTCTCTGGGAAGTCTGTGTGCTTTCTGGAGGCACAAGCATTGAATGGCATGATCAGCCCTAGGAGGGATCAAATGAAGGCCATGAGGTCACATAAGGAAGGCTAGAGAAAGTGAAGTGAAGCACTGAGGGGAGGGTGGCTTTAAAAGAAGGAATTTGCTTTAAGATTAGGACTTCCATCTAAATATTTAGATGTTCCTGAAGACTGAGAATTTGATGACATGATCTTTTGTGCTCTCCTAACAACTTCTGTCAGCCCTGTGCTTTGAAGATGTGAGCTCACAGCTGAAGCTTGGGCCTGAGACACCGGTGTATATATACCCAGTGCTATGTCATCTACCTTGAGTCCAGATCAAGTTGTTTTTACACTGAAATAGCTTTAGCTAGGATTTAAAGAACCCGATTTATGGAATCTAGCAGGTCAAGGATTGGAAATTTCAGGTCCCATAAATATTTTTTGGAAGCAGGTTTTGCCAAGCATAGCACTTAGAGGTAGAGAGTAATGATTCTGGGCAGGTTCTTTATGGTACTGTGACCTGAAGAATTTCTCCGCTTTTGAGCTTCTAGTTTGATAATGTTGTGTTTTCCGTCTCCATTAGTTCAGCTGTAGGAATATCCTTGGTCAGGATATATGTAGTGTCTTGGGGAAGACTAATAAGTCTTTTTTTGGTGAAGTGGGTTTGTCAGCAAATAAACTGGATAACATTTTTTACATGGCCTTTCATTCCCTTGATTTTCAGCCCAAGTTGCCTAATAAATATGGATGTTCTGTCCAGGGGATTTTTCACCCTCATTATGGAACTGATGTCGCATCACTGCTATAATCGGTTTACAACCTTTCCTGTTATCTCTGGAAGCGCTATCAGGATGGAACGCTTTTAAGTTCCATTATGAAAAGCTGTCATGTTAGCTGCTTGGCTAGCCTGCAGAACTGACCAACTCTTTGTCAGGGTGCTTTCGGGGGCCTCTAATAGGTGACGTGATTGAAAAACCGGCCCCTGGTAATTTTGTGGCTAGGGGAATTGGTTAGAGGAATTTCCATTACAGCATGAGCTCTTACAGGAACCTTCACTGTCATTTGAACTTGGCTATGATTGCCACGTGTTAGGATGCCAGTTACCATTTGGTAGTGTTGTTATCCTCGTTTAGCAGACAGGTGATGAAATAGATCTAAAAAGTGAGCATTAGAAGAACCATCCTCGACTACAGGTATTCTGCCTATGTTATAAATGCTAGCAGAAGAGCACCTTCTTTCATGACCAATGTAGTTTTAAGAGCTACTTTTATGTATACACGAGAATCAAACGGGCATGGCATTGCCCGGTCTACATCATTCTTTTTGCAAGGATGTTGTTCATTTATGAGAAAGCCTGTTATGCCCTTTTTCCTCCACAAGGGGGCCAACTCAGGGTCTAAATTATTCAAATTCCATACTTTGAAATATCTGTTCCTTCTTTCCATACCTTTACCCAAGGACAAATGAAAGAATGTCAAGTCCCTGTCAAAAGATGGATGGAGCTTCTCCTCTTAGAAAATGTCTTTGATACGTTTGACCTCATCTGTAGGCCCAAAGGAATAGTGCAACTCATTACTTTAGTATCCCAAAACCTTTGATCTTCTTAACAGCATCTTTAAAGTTTGTTTCCTATATTCCTGTGGTGTTAACCTTGAAAGTTTTGTTTTCCTTTTACCTTTTCCATTTTTTCCCCTAAGGATAATTTAACAGCCAATGTTTAATTGTAATATAGGTAACTTATTAGGGAACAGAACTAACAGGATCTCTCTCATATACATGAGAGAAAGAAAGATTGGTCGATTTTAAGAAATTGGCTTACATGATCATGGGGATTTGCAAGTCTGAAATATGTATAGCAGGCGAGGAGGTTGGAGCCTTAGGTAGGAGTTGATGTTACAGGCTTGAGGAGAATTTCTTCTTCAGGAAATGGGAGTTTTTACTCTTTTTTTTTTTTTAAAGATTTTATTTATTTATTTGAGAGAGAATGAGAGAGAGCACATGAGAGGGGTTAGGGTCAGAGGGAGAAGCAGACTCCCCGTCGAGCAGGGAGCCCCATGCGGGACTCGATCCAGGGACTCCAGGATCATGACCTGAGCCGAAGGCAGTCGCTCAACCAATTGAGCCACCCAGGCACCTGGGAGTCTTTACTCCTAAGGCCTTCAACTGGTTAATGAATCCCACCCACTTTATGGAGAGTGAGTAACTTTACCCAAAGCCTACTGATTTAAATGTTAATCACATCTAAAAAATACCTTTAAGGCAACATCTAGACTGGTGTTCGATCAAATAACTAGGCATTTTAGCCTAGCATGGTTGACACATAAAATTAACCATCAAAGCCTATTAGGGTTATGGTGAACAGCTTGAAAGTTTTAGAAAAAAAAAAGGACATACCATTTCCTGATATAATATACAAAGCACACGTATGAGGAAGGTACTACTAAAATAAAGAACAGGTATGGTCATGAACTGTCTGGCCCTAATTAAAAGTCTTTTAACTGGCATTCCATTAGCCAAATCCAGCCTGCAGAATGTTTGGCTCATATTTGTGATTTTAAAAAATGGATTAATTGCCAATATTTAAAAATTGGGAAAATTCATAGCAGTAAGATCTAGAGTTGTGACCTTTCTCAGCTCTGGCAGGCAGAGTTGCCCGACTATGCTATATGGAAGGGCAATGTCATGAGATCTGGCAAGATTCTATGCGGGATCCTAGCTTAGCCTTGATTGGGATTTAGATAAGGGAAGTGAAAGAGGGCCTTTTGGTTGACCTTAAATGAAAGAAGCAGAGTCGTGGAGGTAGGATTCTATGTGAGGAAACTTGCCTAATGGAAGAACACGTCTGTGAGTGTAAGGTGTAGGAGAAAATAAGGTTGACTTGTCAGACAGGAGCTAGGGTATTATGGCAACAATAGTTCCTTTAAGAGTTAAACCTAAAATCTCTGTGCCTTAAAACAACTGAAATTTATTTCTTGCTTATTATAAAGTCCAAAATAGGTGTCCCTAATAGGTGAATCTTTCACGCGATGATTTAGGGTCTAGGCTCATGCCATCTCCAGCACATGTCTTCTGCAGCGATAGCAAAAGAAGAGAGAGTATGGATGAATGTGTAGGGAAAGTTTTCACAGATCAGACCTGGAAGTGGTGCACATAATTTCTGCCTGCATTTCAATGTCTACATCCCATGGCAAGGGAAGGTTGGGCAGTGTAGTCCAGCTGCGTGCTAGGGCGAAAGTGGATAACAGGCTGAGTGAACTGCTAGCCAGTCTCTAGCCCAAGAGATAGAGACCTTGGGGTTAAGCAGGCAGGAGCTGCTCTAGGGTATTAATAAATTAAGCATGTATCTACTGAGTACATGCTGTATATGTGTTGGATGCTGTGTTATGTGTTGAGTAGACTTTTGACCAAAGGAACAACATGGTGAAAGCATTGTTTTGAGAAGCCAGGCTCGTGGTCAAGTGTAAAGCAAGGAAGGCAAACTCTAAGTCGGGGTGGATGGTGGGGGTTGTCTTTCTGCAGCTGGGAACCAGTGCGGCTGTCTATACGTATAGCAATATCAATATCACCAATAACAATCACGATTGCTATGTACTGTGCAGTATTACAAGCAGCTTTACATAGTCATCACTCAAACTTATGATGCAAATTCAACCATTATTTCCTTTTATCAGTGGGGGAAAGCAAGTCTTTAAATGATTAAATCATTTGCCCATATTCACATAAATCTTGGCAGGACCTGAGGATTTGAACTTAGGAAGTCAGTGTTATTTTATAGCTACTGTAGAATTTATAAAGTGAAAATTTAATAGAAACATAATGAGTTTAAGTGTACAGTAATGAAAAACTCTGTTATTGATTTGAGAAGGTCACTGCAATTTACTAAAAGACTTTAGTAAACTGAAAATGAAGAAGTGACATCAGAAAAACAACCTGTTAAGAAGTATCACTATCCTTGGGCATACTTGATTGGATTTAGATGGATTTCTAATGAGCGTTCTTAGGAAATGCTAGGTTGCTTGTGAATATGACGTCTTTCTTAACTATAAGCACTCAAATCATTTATTATCTTTAATTCCTTATTCTGATAAATATGCCAGAACACCCATCTCTCTGATATCTTTGTCATGATCATAACATGTATAATCTTAAATAATAAATGTAAAATAATATTGGTCTGATAGTTCCAGAAATATTAGCGAACACCAGAAGCTTTGCGTTGTTGATGTGAAGTTCTATTTTTGGCAGTTGACTGTTGGGATGGCCCAGATGGAGAGCCAGTGGTCCACCATGGTTATACTCTGACTTCAAAAATTCTCTTCAGAGATGTTGTGGAGACGATCGACAAGCACGCCTTTGTGAAGAATGAGTAAGTACAGCAACACTTGGCTGCTAAGCTAGCACACAGAGCATTGGCTGATGTACCACAACTACAGCACTACACACCCTTCCTTGGAGTCCTCATCTCCCTTTCTATGACCCTAGTTCTCTCCTTTCTTCTCAATCAAATGTTGTGAGCAAGTAATATGGGCTCCATGTTTGTAATTTCTCATGCTCCATTTATTTCTTAGCCCATTCTCTCTCAAGACATTGCCTCCTGGAAGCATGTTCTTGCAAAGACTGACCTCATTTCTACAGAGTGTTCATAAACTTTGGAAACATAGGTTACTATACACGATAAATAGGTTATTGATATTATTTTACACTACAGTAAAATAGTAACAGCTAGGTTTTCAGACTTGCTGGGTGTCCTATATACACTGAAATGTCCAGCATCCTTGCGTCGCTTTACTCTTCCTTGGCATTGGATAATGATCACTCTTTTCTCCTCAATACTTGCTTTCTTGGGGCTTCTACTATAACATTCCCCTCTATGCTGTCATTGCTTCTCACTCTTTTTTTGGCCAATGTCTTCTATTCCATTTCCTCATTCCTCTAATAATCACTATTTCTTAAGTTATTGCCATTGTTCTACTTTTGGGTTATTTAATTATATGTCCAGAACTTCCCCCTCAGTTTCAGACCTATGTAGAAAAATTCCTAGTAAAAATCCATCTGAGTATCCCGTAGGAACCTCAAAATCAACAAATGTCATTATTTCTTCAGGTATTTAATGGTGCCTACTCTAAGCCAGGCATACTGCAGTAGGTGCAGGGAACCACAGCACTGAACAAAAGAGAAGACTCCTGCCATCACAGAGCTCACATCCCAAATTGAACTCAGCATCTCATTCTGCCAAACCTCCTCTGGCTCTTACTTCCGTTTAGTTAGGGGTAGCCCTGTCTACCAGTGTCTTAGCCAAAAACTGAGCCATTCTAGATTCAGTCAGTTCTTGTCAATTCTGCTTCCTAAATTATCTTTTGACTCCATTGCCTTCTCTCCGTTTTCATTTCTCTTTGGGTCATCCTCCACACTAGGGCAATATTTTCCTTTCTGAAAACCTAAGTATGATGTTGTATGTCTTAAAGTCCTTCACAAGCTCCCTGTGGCACAGTCATGTCTTCCATGCCCTTCAGGGCTTGGCTTCTTCGTTCTCTTCCAGGGTCTTCTTCCACCATTGCTCCACAGAGATGGAGGATTCTGCCTTTGTTGTCTCTTGGATTCCCTAGTGACCCCAGTTCTTTCACAACTCCCTACCTCGATGTGCTGTTCTCTGCCCGGCACATTCTTCCCATTATTCCACCTGCCTAATCTTTATTCATCCTTCAAGACTGGTTAGGCATTGTCCCTCTGGCAAACTTACTGATACACCAGCTGATTTAAATGCTCCTTTCTCTGTTCTTTGCACCCTGAGCATATTTCTATTATATCTATATAGCACTCTGTTATAACTATTGGCTTTCTGCCTTCTTTTGAGGCTTTAAGACCATGAGCTCGTTGGAACTAGGGGGCTATGTCTTATTCATTCCTTAGTGCCTAGCAGGTGCCTGCAATATACCAGACAGCTATGTATATAAAGTCAAAGAAATGACTTTTTTTGAATTAAAAGAAACAAAATTACAATTGCATAAAATTAATTTTATAAAAGTTAGTAGCCTTTAAAATTTTTAATATTTGGTCTTCTTATTTATTAACCATGAGGCTAAAATGCTGTTGGAATGAGAGATGCGTGCTGCATGGCAGGTTTGGTTTATGGTGTCTGCTGCATACAAGAATCCCAAGTACTGAAATCTGACGGGTCTTTTCTACCCTGATTGCTACTAGTTTTAGCAAAGTCGATGAAGTGATTTTGCCATTGTTTTCCAAAATGTGAAGTTGGGTGTTGAAAAGCCCTGCCACCTTGGAGCATCCTCTGATGACTTGCCGGTGCTTTACTTCGAGTTTGGGAATACTTAGGAGAAGAGCACTTCCAACGAAAAGTTGATGCGCTTGTCTAGTACATTTTAAAAGTTCAGTCTTTTTCTTTTCTTTCTTAGGCCTTCTTAATACCCGGGTTTCTCAGCCTTGGCACTATTGACATTTTGGACCAGATAATTCTTTGTTGTGGGGAGCTGTCTCATGCATTCTAAGAAGGTTACAGCGTCCCAACTTCTCCACACTAAATATCAGTAGCGTTCCCCGCACCCTCCCCCCCATATCGTGACCACCAGAAACGTTGACAAATGTCTATTTGGGAAACCGGACCCCATGGTCTCCCTTGTCCCCTGTTGAGAAGCACAGCTTTACGTTGAGTATCTTTAGATCCTAATAGGCTTTTTCTAAACAGATGGCTAGTTTAAAAACCCACCGTTAGAACACCTTGATGTGATTGCATAGACAATCTCTTGCTAGCTTGTTGTTGTTTTTCTCTCTTTCTAACATTCTGGGGTGAAACCCATGTGGACACAAGAGCAAACAGACTGGAGTAAGGTAACCCACTCCGGCCACAAAGGTTCATCTCTTCTATTACCTCTGGCATCAGGTTTTACTAATGAAGAAAGGATGAAATTTCAGGAGGTCATAGGCCCTCCTGTGAAGCATGTGCTGTCATACAAGCCCAGAAGTAAAATTTTTTTTCTCTACATAGATATATTAGCCAATTTAAATATTGGTTTATATACTCTGGAAAATATATATGGCCTATTACTTCAGAAGACATATGACAGAAAAGTAGGAAAAAAACAACAAGCTAAATTTGAAATAATTTCTTACTCTGAAGAAAAAACAACGTCAGAAGAAGAGTAAGATCAGTGATCAGGCCGAGTTCCCTTTCTGCCTTGGCCACCAACTGGAGGCTGTCTTTGGTAATCAGTCTACTTGGGTTTCGCATTCTCTGCACAGGAGCCTGAGGACTGGGGGAGAGTGAGTGCTTGACTTTTTTTCCTTTCTGAAAGTAAAGACTAGTATATAAAATTCTATCCAAATGATTTTGAAATGCTTGGCATAGGATGCCATAAATCACGAAATTCCATTATGCTATTTTATCCTCAATAGTGATTTTCAAGCTGGGGGCGGATAATATATTTTTAAATATCTATACTTAATGGTACTCTGTGGTCTGTTAGATATTTTTAGACATTTTTTAAATTGAATTTACCTAAGTTTTTATCCTGAAGCTTATTTTTTTTATTTGAGTATAGTTGACACACAATGTTACATTAGTTTCAGGTGTACAACATAGTGATTTGATGAGTTTATACGTTATGCTGTGCTCACGACAAGTGTGGCTACCGTCACCATACAATGTTATTACAATCCCACTGACTATGTGCCCTATGCTGTGCCTCTTATTCCCATGACTTATTCATTCCATAACTGGAAGCCCGTACCTCCCACTCCCCTTCACCCAGTTTAGCCCAGCTCCTCATCCCCCTCTCCTCTGGCAACCATTAGTTTATTCTCTGTATTTATAGTTCTGACCCTGCTTTTTGTTTGTTTATTCATTTGTTTTCTTCTTAGATTCCACATATGAGTGAAATCATATGGCATTTGTCTTTCTCAGTCTTATTTCACTTAGCATGATACGCTCTAGGTCCATCCATGTTGTTGCAAATGGCACAACCTCATCCTTTTTTATGGATGCATGTACGTAATATGTAATATTCCATTGTATGTGTGTCTGTGTGTGTGTGTGTGTGTGAGAGAGAGAGAGAGAGAGAGAGAGACGCACCACATCTTCCTTACCCATTTGTCTATCAAGCAATGGACACTTAAGTTGCTTCCATATCTTGGCTATTGTACATAATGCTGCAGTAAACATAGCGGTGCATATATCTTTCTGAATTAGTGTTTTCATTTGGGTAAATACCCAGCAGTGGAATTATTGGATCATATGGTATTTCTATTTTTAACTTTTTTGAGGAACCTTCATACTGTTTTCCACAGCGGCTGCACCAGTTTACATTCCCACCAAGAGCATATGAGGGTTTCTTTTCTTCACATCCTCACCAACACTTGTTTTGTCTTTTGTTTTTGATTTTAGCCATTCTGACAGGTGTAAGGTGATATCTCATGCGGTTTTGATTTGCATTTCCCTGATAGTGAGGTTGAGCATTTTTTTATGTGTCTGTTGGCCATCTGTATATCTTTTTTGGAAAAATGTCTATTCAGATCCTTTGCCCATTTTTTAATTGGATTTCTTGGAGGGCTTTTGGTGTTGAGTTGTATGAGTTCTTTATATATTTTGGATATTAACCCCTTTTTGGACATATCACTTGCAAATCTCTTCTCCCATTTAGTAGGTTGCCTTGTGTTTTGTTGATGATTTCCTTCACTGTGGAAAAGCTTTTTATTTCAATGGAGTCCCAAGAGTTTATTTTTGCTTTTATTTCCCTTGCCTCAGACATATCTAGGAAAATGTTGATCCAGGTGATGTCAGAGAAATTACTGGATGTGCTCTCTTCTAGGACTTTTATGGTTTGAGGGCTCACATTTTAGTTTTTAGTCCATTTTGAGTTTATTTTTGTGTATGGTGTAAGAAAGTGGTCCAGTTTCATTCTTTTGCATGCTGCTGTCCAGTTTTCTCAGCACCATTTATTGAAGAGATTATCTTTCCCCATTATCTATTTTTGCTTCCTTTAGATTTTTGAATAAATAAGACAAAATTACGTTATATGAGTTTTCTTTCTTTAGGCTTATCTCTCTTAAAATTGTTTCTTTTTTTTTTCTTTTAAAAGAGATATAATGTATGTGCCATTTTTTAAATGCAAAATATTAAATGAAGTCATCCCACATGGTTTTGTTTTGTTCAGCCATTATGCCTGGCAAAATATATTTGGTTGGCAACGTTTCTTAAAAAATGCATCTTTCATGAGATACCTGGGTGTCTCAGTCAGTTGAGCGTCTGCCTTTGGCTCAGGTCATGATCCCAGGGTCCCGGGATCGAGCCCTGCATCAGGCCCCCTGCTCAGCGGGGAGCCTGTGTCTCCCTCTGCCTGCTGCTCCTCTTTTTTTTTTCCTCTCTCTCTCTCAAATAAATAAAATCTAAAAAAAAGAATGCACCTTCCATCTTTCTCATTTTAATCATCATGGCTCTCACAAATACTGTCACTAGGATTGTAAGAACATAATGAATGTAGAATGATGTTCAAACACCCCTGTGAGTTGCCTGTACGTGATGCCTTTAGAATCTGTCGCTGTGCTCCTAGGTTCCCGGTCATCCTGTCCATCGAGAATCACTGCAGTGTCCAGCAGCAGAGGAAGATTGCTCAGTACCTGAAAGGAATATTTGGAGACAAACTGGACCTGTCATCTGTAGACACAGGAGACACCAAACAGCTTCCAAGCCCTCAAAGTTTGAAAGGCAAAATCCTAGTGAAGGTAATTACCTCAAGGAATGCCGTAAAACGCATTCATGACCAACGAAGCCCTCCCTCCCTTAAGGACTAAAAACTGGTTTATCAAGAGAACAACAGAGTCAATCCATGAAGGATCATCTAGATTTGTTTATGCACCTTGTTGCACTTTATTGGTAGTTGTACCTTCAGAAAGAGCTTGTTATTCACGGATCATGTATTCTGGGATTTGTTTTTGTGAAGGGAGGAGATCAATACTGTAAGCCAAGTGTTTACTATTTTAGTCTATAAGAGTTTACCCTGGCGAGAAATGGATGTGTAGGTGCAGGGGGTACAGAGGAAGAGGAGGCTCTTGGTGTCCATATCTGAAAGTATTTCTTTCAGATTCTTCTCTCCCACTTCAAGCTCCAATAACTGTCCGTCAAAAGAAGAAAAGAGAAAAAGAAAGAAGAACAAACAGACAACAGTCTTTACAGTTGATCAGCCTTGGTTATGTAAGTGAGAAGAGCTTGCTTCCCAGGCACGGACATAATGCCCCACAGGACTCGTGTGTATGCGAAGGAGCAGTAGCTGAATAGAATGACATTTTATGAACAGATTTTCTGAGGGAGGAAATTTACTATATGCCGTGGATATTATTAATACAAAGAATAGCCAGAAAAAAACAGTTATTTGAGATCTCACATGGCTGACTTTGTGATTTTACTTAATTCCAGTTAATTTTGTGTGTTTGGACTAAGTCCATCTTGGATAGTCGTATTATTTTGAGACTAAAGATCTAAGGAAGAGCAGCAGGGTATTAATATTAAAATTGGGTTACATTTTACTGAAAAGAAATGTGTATCAAAAAAACAAATATCACAAAGGAGGCGTAAGAAAGTCAAACAGTGTAATTTCCTAGGAATACTTTAACAGGGGCTTTAAGGGAGGGCAGCAAATGGGAAAGATGTGGAGTACTCTTTGGAATTGGTCAAAACCTATTTTTCTGTCAGTTACATGAGAATTATAGACTGAATCCATCAAAGAGGTATTGTCGGGCATTTGTATGTGTGAAAGCATTTTGAACAAAAGCTCCAAATAATGTAGGAGATAACATTAAGGTCAGTTTTCCTGAAGTCTTGCTAAAACAAACTCCTATGTGGTAAAAACTGATTGCTGGGTTAAAAAGCTAAATGTCACCTTAATAGCTTTGTAAATGTTTCCATGTTTCCTGTAGTTTTGAGCCAGCAGTCAGAAGGTTAAATGCAGAGTAAGTCCATGTGGTTGAAATACTTCCCTTTTGGACAGTGGAACTTAAGGTAGATATTTAATAGGAATTGAGTCCCTTCTGCATAATTGGACTTTGAGCCATTTGCCATAGAATGTCCTAGGGCTTATGGGAACCACGGTACACCAGGACCAGATGATCTTGGGCACTCATTGGGAGGAGTGGCAACAGCATGGACTGCGAGCATTTCAAGGCATTTAAGGTTCATTTGCTAGTAGCAGCGTTCTTCAGACTTTAAGGAGATCGCCCAGATCTATGGGCCAATGCATTTCCATTTGAAGCAAAAACAAAGGAACTGATTTTCCTACATCCCTTTAGGAGCAATCTTTGGTCCAAAAGGCACCATTTTAGTGGCTCCTTACCACTTTAGAGATTGACAAGTTGTTTATTATTATAATTATAATACACATACTTTCCAACCATATATATACACACCTATCTCCTGAAAAGCAAATAAAAAGTTGCTTTTGAACAAAAATGATAACAAACTTAGTAATTTTCCCTAGACTCTTATTGCTGAAAGAAACTAGCTATCTGGTCCAAGCTTCTTACTTTTTACGGATGCAAATCACAGAGTCATTACCACACTCCTTGGGTCATGCAGCTTGGAGCTGAGTGGTAGCTATGGTTCCAGTCTCTCACAATATTTCCATGTATCATGGACCAATTAAATTAATTCTTGGTAACTCCTGCATGCAATAGTCTGTAGATCAGTAAGAGACCCCTAAAAGATACCTGGGCATTCTTTGTTTATATCAACTGGACCACAACTAAGTTCCTTGAGTCATATTAAGTTCTGCCTTAATTTATTCTATGATTTCCCTTAGGTGTAACTATTGATTTAGAAGCATTAAGAAAGTGTTCTGTTGCATTGCTTTTCTTCCTATCTGCCTGGATAAATTATCTTTTGAGAACCAGGAATGTGGAAGAGTTGGAAAAAAATATGGCCCTCATGTCTTTTAATTCAGTTTTAGATGGATGGAAAATTAGGGCACCTGTGGATGCTCAGAGCAGGAAGCTTTCTCTCTCTCTGTTCTCTCACCCACCACCACATGTACATGAAGGGTGGCCAAAGCTGGGTACGGCTGCCCTATCAGCTCATCACTGTGTACCCATCACGGTTACATTTGGTGGTATCAGAACTGTTTCTGTCATTCAAGGATTGTTACTCCTTCCTTGTGGATGTTACTTCTCATATTTGTTAGCTCTGTTCTGCTTTACATTTATAAAATATGTTGGCTTTGTTCTATTTCAAAAGAGGGAATTGCTGTCATTACATTTTAAATGTCTTGGGTACAGGTCCATCTTGGTTGTCTGTCATTGTGCCCAAAACAGAGACTCTGGGTAAGTAGTTGGTGGTGAATAAATGAAGGAGATCTTTAACTTGATGTCTATATGTTCCTGAACATGTCAACCGCTTAGTTGAGTCCCTTATTTCTGGTGCTGCTATATTAACATAGCGACTCTCTAGTGCCCTCTCAAATAAAGAAAAATAAATTCATTTCATAGAAGCCTTCCATATTAGAAAAGACTTAAAATAATATAGAGACATAAATACTTTAATTCTGAGCTGTTTTGTTATTAATGATACACGGAAGTGAAAAAATGTTCTGCCGCATTTACTTAGAAATATAGGTATGTATATATCCATATATCTACATCTGTTTATCTCTAAACATGTTCATGTGAAAAAGAAAGTGTAGTTTTCACTTTGCAGATAGCATGTACAAATAAGGAGTATAATACACATCAGTACAAAGGAAAATTAAATCTCATCCTTTTAATCCTATAAACGACCTTCTGTAAGTTGGAGAAAATAAAGAAGAAAAATTTAAATATCCAAACCCCAAGAGTTTGGAGTCTTAATATAGGTCTAGCTTTCATTATGTAAATGATTTAATCAGCTTTGAAACTATCGCTGTTCTAAGGACCCAGGGTCAAGAGCTTTGGGTAATCAGGGAAGGGACAGGAAAATAGGGACAGAGTGTTCTCTGAAAACCTTACTATGCTGGTGATCCTGGGCAGGGTGGGAGTGGGCGAGGGAAAATCCAGCATGCTGAAGGCCAGTGATGGTGTGGAGAGCGGGAATACTAAAAGTCACTAGGGTTTGAGTTTAGAGAACCGCAGCCTGGGATGATATTTAGAAACTTACCATTATTTTTGGCTGCTGGGCTTATGAACATCCTTCCATCCTTTTCCATCCCTGTATTTTAAGGAATCCCCTCATAGTGGCCAAAAATGCTGGACGTTTCCTTCTGTAGCTTCTTGGGGCTAGGGTGTAGGCACATGAAATAGATGCTACCAATCAAGTGAACCTGCCCCAGACAGCAGACATCTACACTATTGTCATTTTTAAATTGGGTGTGTTGCTCCTTTTCAGGGCAAGAAGTTGCCTTATCATCTTGGGGATGATGCAGAGGAGGGGGAAGTTTCCGACGAAGACAGCGCTGATGAAATTGAAGATGAGTGCAAGTTCAAGCTCCATTATGTGAGTTACAGATTTAGTTACAATTTTTACCCTTAGTGTGTTGCAGTAGAAATTGCTGCCGTGTTGGAATCCTCACAATATGGTGGCTGTGGTGCAAAAGGAATATTTATTGAAAGTTGCTTTGTTTTGGGGCACATAGACACTCAGATGCTCATTGAGTCAAGGATTTTTGTGTCTTACAGTTGGAAGGAATGTTCATGACTAACCGATCTGACCCTCCCTCTAGGGATCAATCCTCTCCTGTTACAGCTTTGTCAAAACTCAAATTGCTGTTGGAAATGTCATGGTCTTTGATGAAATAAACTGGCTTTAGCATTCTCTCCTCTGCCTCCTGCTAGCAGTCTAGTTCACACTAGGCTGCTTGTCAAGGCTGGCTTGCAGAACACAGCTGTATGTGGTCTGCTTCTCTAGGGATGCCCATCCTTGCCCTAAGAAAATGTACCTTGAATCAGGATTTCCAAGCTCTTCCAGAAATGGGACTCTTGGCTAAATCTTATAATTTGCCGCATTTTAGATAAAGTTGCATAGGATCTTCATGATCCTTCAGAACCCTGTCCTAGATCAAGGCTCTGCCTTTGTAGAAAAGCATCATTTGGCCAGGTAATCTAAAGCAAATGCAAACCTAGAGGAAAAATGTGGAGCTTAAAGAGATACTCCCTCCTCCATCTCTTCTTGGCGGGGCTAGGATTTCTTGCCCCTCCCCCACCTCTACAACTCATATGATTGTCAGGGTCACATGACAGCCTGAGAGTAGCACCCCTTCATGTTAGTTTGTTATAGGGTTTGCAATTTCATTTCTATGAAAAAGTGGTATTTCTGTAGAGATCAGGACTTACTCTTCCCTCTAAAAAACAGAGAAATTTTGTATAAAATCTTCTAATTTGCATCATTGCCCTGAATTCATTTATTACATTACTAAAAACAGTCCATTCTCTTCGTAGTATATAGTAGTAACTAATATGGCTTCCTGTAGTTATCAAAGGGAGCCAGCGTTATTACAAAGTGGGCATGAGTATAATGACAGCTGACCTCTCACTAGACGCTTTTTCCTTGGCTTTAATGCAGTTTAAAAAGGATGAAGTGGGAAACATGCAGCTTGAATTGAAAAGGAATAATTACCATCTGTATTCATCTGTTGTCTTTTAATAGTTTATATTAGCTCAATGAAATACCACTAATAGGGCTATGGTCGCAGAAAATTAATCTAAATAGATTTACATAAGCAAAATTGTTAATATATTAAATTGTTTATTTTTTCCCCTTCCAGATATTTACTATTTTTGTTATTACTTATATGCAATTATGGATAATGTAGCTCTATTTTTTAAGCTTTATTTTATAAACCAAATTTTTGTTTCTGATCTTCATTATCTTGGCATCTTATTTCCAAAATCTCTTGATTGCCAGCTTCAGAGTAGTCTATCATTTGAAAGCAGGGAACAGAGAGGCTTGACTAAGGTATATAGTTAGGGAATGCTGTTTTTAGGGAAAATGAGTAGTGGAAATTTAGGTACTATCACAATGTAGTCATTTATTGCTCTGAGTGAAACCCAAGTTGTTCTGGTTTCTAAATCCACCCAGTTATATAATTTTTCCTCTAATATCAGTGAGCTCCTAACTTTTCATGTTAAGTATCTGTAATTATAAAGGAGAGTTCGCTGTAGTTTTATGGAAACAAATCACTAACTTCACCTGTGAAAATATCCAGCTGCTTCCTCCCAGCTTCAAAGCCTCCTAGTAGGTTTCTAGGAAGCCACACAGGGAGATAGTTCAGAACATGATTCTGTAAAGATAGATACAATCTTTCATTTGGATTCTTTGATCTGGGCTTTAGTAAAAGCAAAGAGCACCTGAATTGTAAAGTTTTACAGGCATTTCTTTGTTAGAGTCTAGGAGAGAATATACATAAAGGAACGAATATTCTAGTGGAAATATATAAAGTTTTTACTCCACTTTTTTGACTCCTTTTTTCCTATTTTTAAGCTCCTTTTTTTTTTTTTTTTTTTTGAGCTCTTCTGAGAAAAGGCAAAGCTGTGTTTAGAAAGCCAAAGTGTTATTCGGTAATCAGTCAATTTATAGTCTTACTGTCAGCACAGGGCTCAAGATGCTTATCTGAGTGTCGAATGCAAATTGCCTGATCACATTTTTGCAAAAGAGGACATACTGTGTGTGCATAGCTTATGTGAAACCAATAATTACCTTAGAGGAGTTCTTAACCTCAGTTTTAAGTTAACAGAATGTGGTTGGATTTACAAATTATGTCTGAATTATTGCAATAAATAAAAATTTTAGCTTAGCATTCATGAACACCAGATCACTAATTCTCATGAGGCTTACACAAGGTTCATGGGCACGTTCAACACATTTTTACTGAGCATCTCCTTTTGGAAATGTAGCCATCACGTTGTAGGTGTTGGGCAGCTATCAGTAAACAAAACACAAAAATCTTTGCCTTCATGAAGTTTACACATTAATGGGAGAAGAGAAGGATGAACAAGAAATAAAACAAATAAGTAATCTGCATAAGTACTAGGCAATGATAAGTGCTAAAGGAAAAAAAAGGGAGGGAAGGGGTGCCTCAGTGACAGATTCTTGATCTTGGCTTAGGTTGTGATCTCAGGTCTTAGGATCGAGCCTCAGGTGGGCTCTGAGCTCAGCGGGGAGTCTGCTTAAGAATTCTCTCCCTCTCCCTCTGCCCCTCCCCCCGCTTGCACTCTCTCTCTCTCTCTCTCACTCATATAAAAATAAGCAAATCTTTATAGAAGAGAGAGAAGGAGTGTAGAAAGTGTGTGTGTGTGTGTGTGTGTGTGTGTGTGTGGGCATATGTGCGTGGGCATGCATGTATGTACTAAGTGAAGAGTCCACTGAAGTTTTAGATAGGATGGCCAGGAATGGTCTCACAGAGAAGATAACAGAAGAGCAAATACCTGAAAGTAGTGAAGAGTTAGCCATGTGGATATCTGGGGAAGAACATTCTAGGCAGAGGGAACAGCAAATGCAAAGGTCAGAAGCAGGACTTAAGGTTCCCTTGCATTACCTGATGTTAGAAGCAGAATGGGAGGCAGGACCCTCATACAGGGTTTCTTATTCCTCCTGGTCTACTGTTACTCCTTATTTTTTTTTTTTTTAAGATTTTATTTATTTATTTATTTGAGAGAGAGAATGAGAGATGGGAATGGGTCAGAGGGAGAAGCAGACTCCCCGCCAAGCAAGGAGCTTGATGCAGGACTCGATCCTGGAACTCCAGGATCATGACCTGAGCCGAAGCAGTTGCTTAACCAACTGAGCCACCCAGGCGTCACTACTGTTACTTCTAACTAAGGGACTCAGACCACACTGAAGGTTTTTTGCTTGTGTAATAAATTCTCTCTGTTACTGAATTAATTGAATCCTTTAAGCTTCTGCCTTGTATGATTTTGTGGCTTCAGCCATAGAGAAAATCTGGCCCATGATATATAAGCCCCATGAAAAAGCCAGGGTGTTGTTCAGTGACTCAAGAATCACACAGCTTGAAGACACAGGGGACAGTTTCCTTTCAACCACAGTACAGTTATCTAACCAATTTGATTCAGTGAGGCCAACTCACCGTTATTCATCTTTACGGGGTCCTCTAACGCCAGTGTGACTTATGGACTTGCACCCTGTATTTTGACTTCAATGACTTTTTTTTTTCCTTCACTGAGTTATTCACTATCTTTTTTCTCATGCTCTGTGAATCTATATTCAGCCAGCTTCTTAGGCACAAATATTAGCTCTCTGTCTTGTATGTGACGCTCATAAACACTAAGCCTTCCGACAAGTTTTTAAATGAGCCCTTGTACAGTAACACATAACTTTTTCACAGCCTGTAAAGAACTCAGAACCATTCCTGACGCATGATTTGTGCTCAATAAATATTAGATATTGTTAGTAACAAGAAACAGCAGGAGCAGCACAATTATTGCTAATGTAAGTCCCGAGCTGGTCCTTGAGTGGAGTGTGTTTTCAGGGAGCTGCAGGAGCAGACAGGAGACAGTAGAAGACAGGAGTAAATGCACAGACTTGAACCGCTGAGAAGCTCTTCTCTAGCCCAGGTCAGAAGCAGGACTTAAGCCCTTCTTTCCCCCAGGCTGGGAAAGCTCAAGGCCCTCACACAGAGGCAGAAAGATTCCAAAACTTGTCCTGTCTCCAGATTTCAGCCTGGGGGCAGGGGAAAAAGGCATTTGGGGGTGGTGAGATATTCCAGTGTTTTGTTTTGTTTTGTTTTAAAGTAAAGGTCCTCAGCGTTCGCTGCACATTGGAATGACAGGGGAGCTTTCAAAATTCCCAAAGCCCAGGCCCTGGCCCAGAGATTCCCGCGTAATTGGTCTGGGGCGGGGTTTGCTTCCCAGTCTGGAGTGGTAGCGGGTGGTTCTGGCTCTCTGCTTTTCCAGCCGTCCTTCGATTTCACACTGGAGAACAACCAAGAATGTATTTGTGTGAGTTATCTATTTTTGGTCGATATTCCTAGAACAGATTGACCTCTTAGAAATAGGAATTAGGAACCCCGATTTCTTCTCTGGTGGAAACTACTCCCAACCATAGTAAAGGGCTGCTTCCTGCACATGCGCTGCCCCCCTCCTCCCCTGCTCCAGCTGCAACATCCTTCCTCCACTGCCCCCCCAGCTGCAACATCCTTCCTCCACTGCTCCCCCTCCCCCCTCCAGCTGCAACATCCTTCCTCCACTGCCCCCCCTCCGCCCCCTTCCTTCCTCCACTGCTCCCCCTCCCCCCTCCAGCTGCAACATCCTTCCTCCACCGCCCCCCCTCCGCCCCCTCCAACCGCAACATCCTGGCTCAGGGAACAAAAGAGCAAGATGCATATGGCTTTCCGCTGTGGTCCCAGCTGCGGCTGCACACTAGCTGACAGGCCGCAGGGCTAAGTGTCTGTCTCAGCTTTCTTTCAGCAGTGCTCCTGGGTTCCAGGACCGAATGATAACACATTAATGAAACCTCAGCCCCACATTTATTTGTTCTCCACGGCTGCTAATTTTCTCGTGCTGTAAATCACAGAGAAGAGAAGGATCAACAGGCAGTACTATCATTCCTTCGTCAACTCCCAGGGTTTGGAGGATGTGAAGTGAATAATTAGAGCCTTTGTATTAAGCCTCCATTATTTCCAGCACCGGCTGGCAGGGCTTTGTATGTGAGCCTTGCTTTGCTGCCTGTGACAGTGTCTGGGCATAGCGGCCACAGTTCATCTCCTCCCCGTCTCTGACTTGTGCGGCCCCGAGCCAGGGAAGGGAACTGAGGTTTGTTTGGGGCCGTCTGTGTGACCTGGGCGTGCTGGGTGCTCTCACATGCCTTCTCTTTTGGGGTCCTCCCAGCAGACGTGCCCCCTGCCAGGCTCTGGGTCACTGGATCTAATGTGCTGGGAGTTGGACCCCTGGAATTCTCTTCCTTCTGAACTTAAGTGAAACCTACGCTTTCCCACAGAGGGATTGTGGGGACGTATTTCCCAGATGTCCTATAGGTTGTCAAAACATAAGCCTGCTCGTGATTATTTTGACTCAAGAATTTATCTTTTTCTGTAACCATAGTAGAGGGATGGCTGCAGCATTATATGATGAAATAGACACAGAATTTTGAATCGGAAGTCCTAGGTTCAAGTCCCTATTCGGCCACTTCCTAGGCATGTGCGTTTGGACAAGTTTTGAATCTCTCTGCCTCTATATCATGACTAAATTTGGCTAACCCTAGTGGCTACCTTCAAGGGTATTGGGTAGCTCAAATGAAGTATCATTATATGACTGTACTTTGTGAACCTTAGCACAATATACAGTCTTAGCTACTTTTTTTTATATTTCCCTGTGCTTTTTTCCCTACGTTCGTATGGTTACTGGTTCTTACTGATCCTGTTTGTTTTCTGCACACTTTCACTCATGTTGGAATGCTGTCCCTCTACTCTCTGCCATATTATCAACTCTCCCTCATTGTAGGAGGTTGATGTGGGGCCACCAAAAGATATGTTCAAGCCCTACCCCCTGGTACCTAGGAATGCGACCTAATTTGGAAAAGGAGTCTCTGTAGATGTTATTAAGTTAGGGCTGTGGAGATGAGATCATCCTGGATTAACCAGGTGGGCCTTAAAAATCCAATGACGAGTGTCCTCATAAGAAGGGTAGACACGGCAGAAGCTGGGGACACACGGAAGAAGGTCACGACATGAAAACAGAGGCAGAGACTGGAGTTACGCTGACAAGCCAAGGAACACTAGGAGCCACCATAAATTGGAAGAAGCAAGGGGACGATCTTTTCCTACAGGAGGGAGTCTATCTCTGCTGACACACTGATTTCATACTTCCGGCCCCTAGGACTGCAAGAGAATACATTTCTGTTGTTGTAAGCTACTGGATTTGTGGTAACTTGTTACAGCAGCCATAGGAAATGAATACACTCATCTTCCAAAGCTTGGCTCAGGTTTCCTCTGTTCTTGGAAGTCTTTCCTACCTTCCCAAGGCTGGGGGAGGTGCCCCTCCTCTATCTGCCCGTGATCCTCCTGACTTCTGTCACACCTGCTTGTGTCGTCAGCCGTTCAGGTGTTTGTCTTCTCCGTGACACCGAGGGTTCTGTGGCAGTGGGGTTGGGCTTTAGTCCTGTTTCTCACCTGGCATAGAGCAGGCAGCTCAATGGGTTTGTTGTATGCAAAATGAAGTTTGTTCTCCAGCTCTCCTCTTTGTTAAATCCCTCCCTGGCTCCCGGCACACTGGCCTAGGCTCTTCGCGCTGGTAGTGGGAACCAGAGTGTCAGGCTTTTCCTCTCTAGGCCCCTGTCCTCTTTCCACACAGGCTGCCAGGTTACTATTATTTCTAAAATACTACTCAGACACTTAGCTACCCAGAGGCTCTCAGCAGCTGCCCACCTCTTGCCTGCAAGTACCTCTGCCATCTGGCCCTAAAGTACATTTCCAGCTTTCTCGGCCAGGCCCCTCCTCCATAAACTTGTGCGCTAGGAAACCCCTGCCGGAGCTATGGATAAGGGGGAAGTCTCCATCGCTGTTGCAGAGCCCCCAGACCCTTCCCCCTCTTCTTGGGGGACTTCTTGGTCACTGGGGCAGGAGTGCTGTGTTCCTCAGAACTGCTGTTGCAGTGGCCTCTGTGCTTCCGTAGGCCTCTCTAGCATCTGAGCCTCCCCGCACATCAGCTCTTTCCCATCTTTGCATCTCCTGCAGAACCTGAGGGCCTGCAGTGAAGTGAGGTGCCTTGTTAACTGGGTATATTAAAGACATTCATGCATGTGATTTTAATACTGGGAATGTCAGCTACCTATTCTGATGTAGGCTTAGTTCCCCCAAATTTCCTGTAGGGCATTTATGTGGCTTCTCTCTTACCAGATTCTGTGAAAATAGAAGACATTACTAGAAAGCTGCCTCGTTCTACAGGGTTTACATATAATGACCTCTTAGTAACAAATGTGCCAGTAGAAAACAGGCCTTAAACTTTTGGTGAGGAATGTAGGCATTGTCCTCGTGCAGGAGGACCACTTTCCTTCCCTGTGGCTGGGCTGGCCTCCAGCAGGTGGCTGAAGAATTAAGGATGGGTGCTGGATCTAGGGAGACGTGAAAGGAGCTGAGGAGCCCGGGGCTGCTGGGGTCAGGCAGAGCAGGGTGGCCCAAAAGCCAAGCTAAGAAAGACTTAAAGGAAATCTGTGTCCCTGGATCACCTAAAAATTGCCTGAGTTTGTCATCTGGACACGAGCGTAGCTTTATTATCCAAAACATTTGAAGTTATTTGTGATCTTAAAGTAATTTTAATGATGAATCATGGCACAGGTCAGTAGTGAGATCCCTTTAGTTATACATTGGGATCAGAGATAGGAAGAAATTTTATCTCAGAATAATCCTCAATTCCAGAGATTTCCATAGCATTCTTTTCCCGTCAGTGAAGGAAGTGATTTTTTTAAAATAGCATATTTTTTGTTCAAATTTACCTATGTAGATATAGAAAAGTTAGTTTTCAAAAACACTCCTTCACCTTCCCTCTATTGAAAGTGCAATGTAGCATGGTGGGAAGGATTTAGGGGCCCTAACTTTGAATTCTGCCTCAGCTACTTACTAGCTTTGTAACCCTGAGCAACTTAATTTCTCTGAACATCAGATTCTACATCTCTGAAATGAAAATGTTAAGACCTTGTAAGGTTCTCGAGGGTTGAATATAGTCAGAGTAATCATTATTTGGGGGGATCAGTGTGTGTGTGTGGGGGGGAGACTAAAATGGTATAATGTGCTTAACTTCTTCAGGTAATTGAAAGGTAATCAAATTATAGAAGCAATGTTGGCTTGAATGAGGGTTGTGTTCTCATTCCGTGTTTCTTAAGGGAAATAATTTCCATTGCTTAATTCTTTGCAGAATAATGGGACCACTGAGCATCAGGTGGAATCTTTCATAAGGAAAAAACTGGAGTCACTGTTAAAAGAATCTCAAATTCGAGACAAAGAAGACCCTGATAGTTTCACAGTGAGAGCTCTACTCAAGGCCACGCACGAAGGCTTAAATGCACACCTAAAACAGGTACACAATTCCCTCTTGGACTTGCCCTTCGATAGGAAAAAGAAAGGACCTCATATTTTGTTTCTGATCCTTTGTCATTTGTGAAATTCTCCAATTTCTTCCGTTTCTCTCCTCATATTGCTCGAAAAACGAAAATCTCCTATTGCAAAATGATGTGAGAAATTGTTAAAAGTGGATGGGCAGGGGTAACTCAAATTCTGCTTCACTGGGACCCTCAGGACAAAGCACAGTGGCCCCGGGCTCATCTTCCCCATGCCTGCTCAGCTGAGGGAAAAGGCTCGAGCGCACCATGTGCGGCACCCCCCCCTCTCCCCGGCCGGTCATCCTCCATGCTGCATTGACTGGACCTCCTGAGTGCGTCTTCCATCTGTCCGCTTCTCGTGTCCGTGGCTGGGTCCTCATCTAGGCCAATGTCAACTGTCACCTGGACCTTTCTTGCCCTCCTTCAATCTGATCTCCACTCTGAAATTAGCATGATGTTTTAAAAATGTAAGTCTGATCATGTCACTCACTCTACTGCTCAAAATTCTCCAGTGGCTTCTCTTTGTGATTGGGATAAATTACAAACTCTTTAACCAGGCTTTCAAGGACCTGTGTCACTGCATCCTTATCTACCTCTCAGATCTTCTCATTTTCCCTGTCACGCTGCTTCCCACAGATGTCCCACCAATCACAACTGTTTGTATGTCATTGTCTTCCTCATGTTCTTTTCTCTCTGCCTGGAACACTCCATTCCTACCTCTGCTCTTGCTAACTCCTACTTAGTCTTTTAAATTCCAGCTTCACCGTGATGCCCCAGATGAGTCTTGCCTTGGCCTGGGATTAGGTTAGTTATCCCCTTTATATTGTCCATGGTAGCCTGTTACAGCTTCTCTTTTCTGAAGGTTTTTTTTGTTTTAACACATATACAATTATTTGCTCAATATCTGTCTTCTCAACTCGATTATAGATTCCTTGAAGACAAAACCATGCCAGTCTTAATAACCATTATTTTTCTGACTTGTTATATGAAGTTGCTGAAGGAATGAATGGTTTAGCCTCCGGCTGAGACTTTAACTCTGTTTTCTAATAGAAATATCAGAAATGGGGAAGGAAAAAGAAGGGTGAGTTTATTGATATTATCATTGCAGGGCATTGAGGGCACTTACTCTGGCCTAGAGGAAATCCCTGGAGTCACTGGCTCTGCTAATAGCAGATTTCCCTGCTCCTGCCACCTGCCCTCTGGGACTCAGGGATCCCCAGGCAGAGGGAGGATCATATGGGGTGACCATGCTTGAATCTAAGTGATGACTCAGCATTAGTGGTTACTCTCTAGAGTTTGTGCTGAGCTCTGATTGGGCAGCTTAGCTCATATACCCACCCCTCACCTAATCACCATGGCCCTGAGTACATGTCCTGCCTGGAACGATAACTTGCCAAGGATGTAGGATAATACTGGCTTGTGAATGCCAGGGAACTTACCGCTGGAAGTGGTGCCAAGGTCAGCCCCTCAGACACTGCATGTTAGGTAGAATGGAATACTGGGGAGGCCACCGAAATGTAAATTACAGTATTACCGCCCTTACCATTGATCACATAATTCTGAATTTTCTTTAAAGTTTCTATAAATAGCAATAACTTCTTCCCCTTCACCCTCCCCTTCCAGCCACTTAGTTTTAACCACACAAATGCTTATAAAATTGGTTAGCTCATTCGGTTAGCTCACCTTGATTTCTGCTTCTCGTTCTTCGTGAACTCTCATTGGTTAATCTGGGCCAGCCACTTCCCCTCACACTTTTGGAGAAGTCTTTGCTCCATCCTAGATCATTCCGATTGGACAGGCCACAGCAGGTGTTAGAGATTTGGGATGAAACAAATTAAACCCATCCTTCTTTTGCTCTTCATGGAAGAAATCCTAGTGATAATTTCCCTGTCAGGTAAGATGGTAAGGGATCTCAAATTTCCAACATGTCGTGGAACAAAACTCATCCCCCTTTTTCTTATTTTTTACTTTCCATTCATTCTGGGTGACCACAAAAATGCATTATACTCATAATGTGGAGCCTATGACTTTAATAAACTGGGCTGTAAAGTGTTGAGGTTTTTAACACTGCTGTTAGTTTTTAAAACATCGTTCTGGGTTCAGTGGGCAAACAAAGACAAGTTACTGTTGAGATAAGTCCTCCATCTGTGTTGGATGCACGTGCATATAGAGAACCAAGGCTGAGGATGGACTGTGTGGTTCAGGGCAGAGTGTCACCCAACTTCCTTCTTGCTGGACTGTCATTCAGCCATACAGCACTGTGTTCTCCTTGTGCTCTCTTTCCCCTGGCAAGCCCTGAAATAAAGGAAAAATGAAGTGCTCATCCTTCAGGCTTGAAGAACATAGTAGACACCAGAAAGATGCCTGTCCTTTGGAGTTCTTAAATCTTTTTTTTTTTTTTAACATACCATTGGCAACTGTCTGGATGGCCATAATTATTCCCTAAGCAGACTTTTCCTGCTCGTCTGCTGTCCCACTTGCTCTAATTTTTCAATTATCCCGCTACCGTAGTGATATTTCAGAAATGGGCATCAGATAATGCCATTCTCTTGTTTTAAACCATTCAAAGTCTCCTCATAGTGTGGAGGATAATGTTCACCCTCCAGGATATAGCCCATAAGACCCTTTCCCCATGCTCTGGCTCTAGGTCTGACTTGTCCACCAGTGTGCATGCGTACCAGTACGCAGTCGCCCTACTTCCTTTGTCTCCTAGCTGGTACCGTGTTCTTAGCGCTTCGCTTTTGTGTTTGGTCCTCCCTTGGCCACCACACACTTCCTCCTTCTCATCTCACTTAGAAAGGTCTGCCCATCTTCCGGCTTCAGCTTTTGCCTGTATCCGTGGAAGTCCTCCTTGATCCTCAAGCCTGGGTAGGTGGCCTTCCCACGCCATCCTGCCATGCCCTGCACTTTCCCCATGAGAGTCTTATTACAGTGTGTTGCGTTCATTTGTCTCCACCATTAGATTGCAAGCTCAGTGAGGACAGAGTCTGCATCTCTTTTGCTTGCTGTTGTCCTCGTATTCATGCCAAGTTCCTAGCACAGTGTATGATCTGTGGATTCATTAAAAAATGTGGTACTGATGCTCAGGGAGAGGTCAAGTTGAAGATAGGTATTTGTGTGTATTACCCTTCTACATGAAGAGGTCATGCGAGATGGGAGAAGTTGGGAGAGAGCAAGCCAGAGAGATGATTTAGAGCTACACAGAACCCCTGTTTTATCACCGACTAGCTTTGTAACTTTGGGCATATTATCTAACTTCACTGTATTTCAGTTTTTCCTATTTGTAAAATGGGATTTTAACCGTATTTCTCTCTGAGGGTGGTTGTATATATTAAATGAGAATATATGTAATGCACTTAGCATAATCCTTGGGGCATAGGAGGTGCCTACTAAATAGGATGACCATACACTTCAACTTACATGGGACAGCCCTGCTTTATACGTATTGTCCCAGTGTGATTGTTAAAAGCGCCTCATTTCACTCTTCAAAGGGTTTGTTTTGGACAATAAATGACATGGTCCCCTGACTGGTAGGTGCACTATTCAAAGTAGAAAGGAATTCAGAGGTTAATTCATCCATTCCTCTCCCATTTCACAGGTAAGAAAACTGAGGTCAGGAGAAGGGGACAAATGGACAAAGGACATTTAGCTACTTGGTGTCAGGACTGGGTCTTCTAACTTAGAAAGCCTATCTGGCTACCTTCTTAACTCTAGGGTTTTTGAACAGTTAATGATCAGCTTCAGTAGATCTTCAGAAGGCAGTCAATAGACATTAACCAGTCCAATGAAATTACCCTGTAAACCCCCTCCCACCCCTCCAGCACTTTCTGAACTATCTCTTTCCCCAATCAATTCCTAATCCTTCCCCATCCCCACTCCCAATTATATCTTGATTAGTTTCTATGGATATATGTCAGTGCCTCCCTCGCCTTTTGCTCACCCACATTTATTCCATTTATGTGGTTATCTCTGCTTCTTCTTTGTTAGCTAGAAGGCCTAGGAGGATAGGGCCTGCTGATCTCTCCTTATACCATGTCCTTAGCCGTGAACCAGCTAATACATATTTTTAGGGAGGAAAGTCGAGAAAGAGCCTAAACCCCTTTGGCCCAGTGGCCTTTCTTTCCCCTAATGAGAGGTGGGCTTGAGTGAGGAGATCTCTAGCCTGGAAAATTAAGCCACATGAGGAAAATTTCAGAGGCTGCAATACCTCTTCTAGATGCTCACCACAGAGGGAATTAATTTCAATGAACAGATAAGCTCTGCTGTGGTTTGCTTAAATAAACAAAAACAATCTTATTACCTAATAGATGTACTTGGGTTTTATTTATTTTTAAAGTTTTACAATCCTAAGTAGCAGTATTCAAGCAATGTGATGATGATGATGATTTTTTTTAGTCAGCAGAATTGGCTCTTAAAAGACTTTTGGCCATTTTTCACAATTAAATCTACTTTTAACTAAAGATGATTATCCCCACTCAGGGTACTCAAAAGAATACGTCTTGTGCTGTGGAGAGTCTTGTGACAAGGCACTAGAGGGACCAGCACAGCTGGACATTCCTGAGAGGCCCTGGACACCAGTTTGGGGAAGTGATTGGCAGTTACTGTCTCCTTGTTGGTGCCCACAGTTCTCCAGTCCAGTGTCTCCCTCTCTTGAGGCAGACTCCACAACTTTTGGGGTAGTGAAGGTGTGGAACAGGAGGAAATGGATGGGACTTGCTTGTTCTACCCTAAGCCAAAGAGGGTTCCCCGCCATTTCACCAGAACTAAGGCAAAAACACAAGTGTGGAAGAGAAATAGTCATCTTATGTTTTATTTACTCAGCATCCAGATGTGAAGGAAAATGGAAAGAAATCACATGGACGATCCCTCATGACCAACTTTGGAAAACATAAGGTATGAATTAAGAGTGACAAAGGGACATAATCCAGTTAATTTAAAGAGACTGGAAAGTAACAGGACAGTATCATCACAACCTTGGAATAGCTGAAGATTTCTTAAATAGGACCCCAGAAAAGAAAAAGATTGATAAGCTACTTTGAAATTTAAGAACTTCTCAAGAAATTCTTATTCTTATTCCTTAATAAGCAAGTTGCATACTGGGAAAGAGTATTTTTGACACACATATCCAACAAAGGACTTATATCCTGAATATACAAAGAATTCTTACAAATCAATACAAAAGATACCATAATTTTTTTAAAAAATTTATTTATTTTAGAAAGAGAGAGAGCACACACAAGTGGGGGGAGGGGGAGAGGGAGAGAATCTTCAAGCAGACTCCCAATCCCACGACACCATGAGATCATGACCTGAGCCAAAACCAAGGGTCAGATGCTTAACCAACTGAGCCACCTAGAAGCCCCCGTAGTATTTTTTTTTTTTAATGAGCAAAAGACTTTAAGTGGTCTTTCACAAAAGAAGATTTCCAAATGGTTAGTGTCGAAAAGGTGCTCACCCTTATCAATCCTCTCAGAAATGCAAATTAAATGATGATGAGATTTCATATATTCCCATATATATACCCATCACAATAGCAGACATAAAACGATTGACAGCACCAAGGGCTAGTGAGGGTGCTGAGCAACTCGAACTTTATTCACTGCTGATGGGAGTGTGCATTTGTGCAACCTCTTCACACTATTTCACAGCATCTACTAAAGCTGTGTTATGCACCGTGTCTTATCAGTTCCATTGTTGTGTTTCAGCCTCATGACATATACCTAATATTTGTAGTGGTATTAGTTGTAATAGTACAAACAGGTGCCCCATGGGTTATTTTAATAAATATGAAGAGTATTTATGTTGAAAGTCAATATTCTGTAGCTTACAGAATGACTTTCCACACCACCTCACTTAATCATCACAACACTAATCCCTTAAAATAGTTGTTACTGTCCTTTCCTTAAAAAAAAAAAACAAAAAACCATAATAAGAAGCTAGAGAGGTTGGCCAACTAGCCCACTTAGTGAGAGGCCAAGCTGGAATGTGAGATCATCAGATGCTGGTGTTCCCACGCCATGCGCTCTGAGGTTCTCAAAACATCAGTAACACCTGAGAAGGTTCTGGACTAAATTGGCGCCTTACTGTCAGTGAAATAGACTTGAGTGTGTTTATGCCAGCAGTGTGGTTTGGCTTTTCTGCAATTACAGGGTCCCTTCCCATCATTTGTTTTTTCTGTTATGTATTGCCAAATATTTGGGTTATCGCTAATGTGTTGGGATAAAACAGCATCATTCCAAAGTCTTTATTTCTGACAGCCTTTAGTCCTGCTGCCTTTCAGCCTGAATCCTGTGGGTAATAATTTTTATTCTGTTGGTAGAAATTAAAATGGGTCAAAATCTCAAAAGTGCGGTTTGACTTAGACAGTTATTTAAGTGCACGCTAATCAAAAGCAGGAAAAAGTTATTCATAAAAAAAATTACTACTTGTCTTTTTTGTCAAATCTGTCTTTCATAAGTCAGCAAGAATAGTGAATTTCCTAAATAAAAGAACATTTTATCCCCTTGTAGTCATTTGAATAGATATTATAACTATGACCCTTCTGCTCTTGAGACCTTCAAGGCATGACTAATAGTCTTTCTAAAACACACATCTTTTGTGGCTTAGAAGTCAGTTTTACAGTAAGAAACCCACACTTTTGCCTTAATATTATAATTATGATCATAGACATGCTTGTTATTAATGGTAAGGCAAGCTGCAATATTTGGTTAATTTGTTTTCTTCCAAGTAATTGTCCTTTTTGCATATATTATAATGCCCAGTCCATTCTCTGTATATTGTAGACATACCTGGTGCAGTGAGTTTGTTGTTAAGTTTACTGTGATTTTCCAGCAGAAAACCACAAAGTCACGGTCTAAGTCGTATAGTACCGATGATGAGGAGGACACACAGCAGAACCCTGGCAAGGAGACTGGTCAGCTGTACAGGTAAGAATGTGTCTCCACGTGTCTTGCTTAGACTCCTGGGGCCTCTTCAGCTTGGCTGTTGTAGTTGTTTGTGTCTAGAGAAGTGGATCACAAGGTCAAGTCTCAGTGCAGCAGGACGTGGGAAGATGAACTGGGTATGAGATAATAACACACGGAGGGGGCTTACACTGTGTGCCTGGCACACAGGGAGCTCTTGCTAAGTGCTAGCTGTGGCAGTGGTCAGGTCTCTTCAGAGAAGAGAGAGGGGCCGCAGGAGCTAGTCTGGGGGGTTCTCCTAGGAGACTGAAGGAGATGATGGGTGATGAGCTCATGTGAAGAGCTAGATATCTGAAATCAGCCAGACTTGAAACTCTTGTTCCTTCACCACTAACATGGGACAAGTTAGGCTTCTCATATGTTTCTATTTCTTAGGGTCATTGTGAGGATTAAAGGAATTAAACTGCTTAGCCTGATAAGCCCTGTTCCAATTAACTAAGCACTCAAAAATATTAGCTGCTGTTTTCTTTATTATTGCCAATAGAATTTGAGATGAATAAGATGATTTGCTGGCAGCTTGTGTATACAGTAAAGTCACAGAGGAATGTAAATCATATCATAGATAAGTGCGTGCACACACACACCCACACACACCCACACCCTTGTGCCTTTATTGAAAGACTGAAATTAAATGAACTTAGAAGCATAAAGCGGTCTTGTAGGAATGGATGACATTTAGTGCGCAATTAAATTTTATATTTAGCTTCGCTTCAACAGGATGTCCATACATAACATGGTAACTAGTAAGGGCAGAGAGGATGTGTGTGGTTCCTACCTTTAGGATACAGAAAATTCAATACATAGTTACAGTAAAGGAGTGGGATCACCTTCCAGGAGACCTCTACTGTGAATGTTCTCAAATAGAAGTCCGGGTTCCCTTCCTGCCAAAGTGGAGGAGATGCCTGGTGAACTCCGGTGTTACTCACTACCTGGGGAATGGTAGCAATCAAGCCCTTCATGGCAGAACTCACAAATACCTGATAAGACACTGATTCTCAGTGGAGCAGTGAATAAGACCACATGAGTAGGGTATTGTGGTGGAAAGAGAGCTGAACTAGGACTCTTACTTGGGTTCTAATCTTGGCTCCACTAGGAGCAGGTTAGGGAAGGTGGAGTAGCCACAGGCCCAAACCTCTTCCAGCTCTAAATGACATGAGTCCTGGCTGTGTATGTCACAGGTTGGGTCGCCGCAGGAAAACTATGAAACTCTGCCGAGAGCTCTCTGACTTGGTGGTGTATACAAACTCAGTGGCGGCCCAGGACATTGTGGATGATGGTAAGGAGAGAGTTTTTCTTCTTGGGTAAACATTCTTGACCTTTCTTTGTCAACCGTTTACTAATCATTTGTTAATCAGATCATCAGCACACATTTCTGGAACTGTGTATCATCCAACGTGTCAGGAAACTGCCAGTATAAAGCTTCACTCACAGTGGGTGCCATATTGATTACTGTGGTAACCTGATTGGCTGGGCAGAGGAAGACTTCATTATTATGTAAAGACAAATGCATTATAGCAACGTCTTGCCCAAGGTGTGAATTATGGAGACCTGACCTGGTTTGGTGGCCAGGTCACAGACGGATGTGACGTTCCTAGTGTGAATGACCAGAAGAAAGAAGAAAGCTAAAATAACACCTCAAAAATTCCACTATTTTGTCATTGGAAATTTTGACTTTGATGAAGATAATTTAACCCACAGATTGAAGTTTTAACAGAAAGGGCAGGAATTTCAGAAGCACCGATCCTTTCACTGATTTTCACCTTTTATCACATCATGTTGTGTTGAGAAATCCTAGTCACAAATGTTCTTACCCCCGACTTTCCAGTGAGCTGCTCTTCTTCCCTTTATCTTCTTCCTTTCTCATTTCTGTTTTGTTCCGTTACTGAATGCTTATAGAAATAAACTCCAGGCATGTGGCTTTTCAATCTAATTTTAATTTTAGTAGAAGTAAAATGTAAAGTAAAAATCTCTCATTTTCCCAACAAATCTTAGTGAAGGAAAACCAACATTGTGTGGAGCCTTATGTCTGTAACAAATCTCCAGGATTCTCTCCTCAGATCTTTCTTTTTTGTTTTTCCCTTTCCACAAGTGTATCTTTTTCTGTCTTACCTTTGGTGTTGATTCCTTCCTCAAATGGAGACAATTAAAAAAAATTAATTTCACATGCAAGAACATGAGAAACTGTCCTTATAATAACCACCCATAGCTAGAAAATAAACTCAGTGAGAGGTTTAATGGAGTGAAAGGTGTATTTGGTTTAGAGGAATATAATTTTTAAAAAAGATTTATTTATTTATTAGAGAGAGAGAGAGAAAATGAGAACACAAGCCGGGGGCAGGGGCAGAGAGAGGGAATCTCAAGCAGACTCCCCACTGAGCGCAGAGCCTGATGCAGGGCTTGATCCCAGGACCCTGAGATCATGACCTGAGCCAAAACCAAAAGTTGGACGCTTAACCAACAGAGCCACTCAGGTGCCCCAAGGAATATAATTTCTACTAAATACCCTAAGAGACCATGATTGTATTAGCTTAATGGAAAATAATATTGAGTACTCTTGAACTTAAGGAGTTTTTGTTGTGTGTGTGTGTATGTGTGTGTGTGTGTGTGTATAGCCACAAAATGAGCAATAAATAACGAATGCGTGTCTCATCCCAATGCAAAGCAACTCAAATCTATTCATATGCTAATTGATACTATGCCTAACTAGCAAGGTCATCTTACTGATAATGTGGTGTACATATTTATGTGGAGACACAGAGAAAACAGTGGCACTGATTATAGTGTTACTGCACCCAATGGCTTGTCAAAATACTGTGTATTTTCTCCTATCATGTTCATAGCATTACTCATCAAAATCTGCAAGTAAGATTATTTTTAGTCTCCTTGACAAACGTAAACTGTGTTAACAAGTATGTCAATAAAATATATGTGATACGTGATAAGGAAAGAGTGTATATGAGGGAAATCAGATTAAAAACTGTAATTTCTTTGTCTCCATCTTGTATTTATGATCATGCCAAGTTGTATCTCTAGAGTGTAATTGTTGGTCATTTGGCCGGCATTTAATGTCTAAGTTTATGCAGTCCTGAGGACAACCGGGGCCCTGGGAGACTGTGTGCTCCAATTAACATGCACAGGGTGGATATAATTCAGGTCCAGTTGGCCCAGCAAGTCTATATAGTTCAACTCCTTGGCTTCATGAGCCATGTCCTTCCGTCTGGGTTTAGACACACTCAGCTCATCAGAGTAAAGACTGGAATGGGAATGAGGCTATGGGCAAGTTTGGGTCTTTATTTGGGCCAGCTTCTTCCAGCAGGTCCAGAAGACATATGAGTGGTCATTTTGGGGGTGGGGTGAGGATGTTTGGTGAAGGGGTAGGATTAGTAGGGGCATTATAGAAATGGGACTGGGAGAAAAGTTTGGGGTATTGAATGGTTGGAGTTTAACTCCATCATGACCCTCAGATTTGGTGCTTCCTTGGCCCTGGATTGACACCACCTGATGACAGTCCAAGCAGAAACTTTAAAATAGGCTTCCTATTCTTTTACCTCCCTTTATGTTTTCCATGGTTTATATGGATGGTGGGTGATTGTTCTTGTTTCTGAGATTTTATTTTTTTATAATGCTCTTTTAAAATCTTTATTATTATTCCTTTTGCCCAAAAACTTTTGACTGGTTTCATAATTCTGTTCAAATTAACATTAAAATTCAGTTTTTCTCCTTTGGAATTGGTCTTTTATTTTATTGGACCCTGAACGTTATCAGTTAATATGTGCTTCACATGTGGGCTTTTTATTTATTTTTAAAGATTTTATTTATTTGAGAGAGAGAATGAGAGAGAGAGAACATGAGGGGGGGGGCCAGAGGGAAAAGCAGACTCCCTGCTGAGCAGGGATCCCGATGCGGGACTTGATCCCTCGACTTCAGGATCATGACCTGAGCCGAAGGCAGTCGCTTAACCAACTGAGCCACCCAGGCGCCCCACATGTGGGCTTTTTAGATGAGTGCCTTCAATGAATGTCTTCCTGTTATCAGGAATAAGTTACATAGTAATAAGTTACATAGTTTTATTTATCCATGACTGTCTGTATCTTTGGCAAAGATATTCTGTTGGAATCATGCCCCTAAAAAATAATTTTTCTGCCAGCCCTCTTCATACTAGCCAGATAGACATGAATTAGTGAGATGATTGAATTCCTGGGAGAACATGGGACTCAGAAATATGCAGTTATCCTTGTAAGATGAGCAGCGCAGATTTGACCTCAAAATGGTAAAAGAGTCCCGAGAATGGGATTTTCTGGATCTTTCTTGGTCAGAAGCTACTCCTACTCTGGTTGAATTCACTCTTTTGCTCTGCATTTTATTATGGATATAATCTGATGTCTTAAAAAGTCTTTTGTGGGGGCACCTGGGTGGCTCAGTCGTTAAGCGCCTGCCTGCGGCTCAGGTCATGGTCCCAGGGTCCTGGGATCGAGCCCCGCATCAGGCTCCCTGCTCAGCGGGCAGCCTGCTTCTCCTTCTCCCTCTGCCTCTCCCCCTGCTCATGCTCTCTCTCTCTGTATCTCTGTGTCTCAAGTGAATAAATTAAAAATCTTAAAAAAAAAAAAAAAAGTCTTTTGTGAGTGGTGGTTTTTGACTGAGGTTCTCACGTTTCTTTTTTCTTTATTAAAAACTGCCAGGAACCACAGGAAATGTGTTATCATTCAGTGAAACAAGAGCACATCAGGTAGTTCAGCAGAAATCGGAGCAGTTCATGATTTATAACCAAAAGCAACTCACGAGAATTTACCCCTCCGCCTACCGCATTGATTCCAGTAACTTCAACCCTCTGCCCTACTGGAACGCGGGTTGCCAGCTAGGTGTGTATGCCTCGGGAAAGAGCAGTTCTCTGTATGTCCTGACTCCATGCTGCTTTCTTGCCTAATTCTCTCAAACTTTGAACTTGTGCAGTGGCACTGAACTACCAGTCTGAGGGGCGAATGATGCAATTAAATCGAGCCAAGTTCAAGACAAATGGCAATTGTGGGTACGTCCTCAAACCCCAGCAAATGTGCAAAGGTGCGTGTTCAATTCATAGTCATCTTTCTGATTGCAGGCACCTTACTGAAGGATCTCTCTGGAAAATGTGATACTTAAGTGTTTTGCAACATGATTTTTTAAAAAGGAGATAGGTGAAGGTGTTGGCATGTAAATTAGAACTCTTGTCACAACTATTTAACATTTGGGTAGCATGATGTTTAGAATATTCTCTTGGGAGGTTATGCACGTGAAGAGGGACACGAATAGCAATGGATTGTCATTTGAGATCCAGTGCCCCCAGCATGATACTCACTGGGCATTACTTATAAATTGTACTGCCTTGTAAGGTCTGAGTCCTATCTTTCAGTGAGTCTGAAACCTGCTAGCAAAATTAAAATACCACCTGAAACAATTTTATCAAGCTCTTTTAGTCAGTGTAGTTCAATTATAAAACAGTGCTAACAACAGGGAAAAGATAATGTAGTGTTAGATCAAAAAACACTTGTTTTTGGTTCTGCTCTTTAAAATTCTTTAAAAATTTTCCAAGTTGGATTTTTAGCAATTCAGGTAAAGAAGTGTTGACAGATGTGCCTTCAGGATTTTAGGCTTTGCATGTTTTCTTGCTCTGCTGTTGACTTCCTTTCAGGTCTTCTTTCTGTTTGTTATAATCACTCTATATACCTATGATAGTTTGAGTTAGAAAGTTATTTGAATCTGACATAACTGCTCCCCTTCTCTACCCTGTTGGCATTCCAAGAAAATTCCTCTCTTCCCCCTCGCCATGATGGATAATTGCACCACAGACACTTTAAATTGACCCATTCCTTTGCCTTTGGGAGCATGGATTCTCACAACAACCCCCAGCTATAGAAAATGCCAGCTAGCATTGCCTTCAGGTAAAAGCCACACTGATAGTTATGTGATCATTTCTTTGCTCCAAGAAACACTGTAGTCATTCAGCATTTGTTGTTTCTTTGTTCTGCATGCTTGAAGGGTGTGTGTGTGTGTGTGTGTGTGTGTGTGTGTGTGTGTGTGTGCCTATGTTACCAACCTCAGATTTTAACCTCTGCTTTACTTGGCTTAGGTACTTTCAACCCTTTCTCTGGTGATCCACTTCCTGCCAACCCCAAAAAGCAGCTCATTCTGAAAGTGATCAGTGGACAGCAACTCCCCAAACCTCCAGACTCCATGTTTGGAGACCGAGGCGAGGTAAGCCATGTGTATGACCAAGTGGTTAATTACATGATTATGACTATTTTATTGTGTTTACATTTTTTAAAGAATATTTATTTATTTGACAGAGAGAGACACAGCAAGAGAGGGAACACAAGCAGGGGGAGTGGGAGAGGGAGAATCAGGCTTCCCACTGAGCAGGGAGCCCGAAGTGGGGCTCGATCCCAGGACCCCGGGATCATGACCTGAGCCGAAGGCAGACGCTTAACGACTGAGCCACCCAGGCGCCCCTGTGTTTACATTTACCTGAAATATCTTCAGAGTTCTCTCTCTCTCTGTATGTGTTTGTAAACGAGCACTGACCTCAGCTCATCAGATATCAACTGACTTATTGGGCAAAATCATCGACAGTTCCTTCTGGAATATGGTACACCATCTATTTGGGAAGCATGCCATGTCTTTCCTCTCAGGAGTGGTTTATCACCTCAGGCTCCTTGCCACTCCTACTTGTTAAACCAGCATTTTTGGATCTTGAACGTTGAGTGGGGACACCACACAGCCCTGCTGTTGGGTTCTGCCATAAACCCTTTGTTGCAAATCTTAGAGGACCTGTGATGCTATGCGACTGTCTGCTTCACTTTGTCAGCCTTCAATCCCATTCTCCACAGGGGCTGTTTCCAGCCTTCTCTCTCCTCAAACGGGTGTTCTCATCACTTTCCTTCTCATCTTCAACAGATGATACTGTGTCCTACTCCTCAGAAAGTAGGAGCTTCGTGTGGGATCGTTCGTTCCACCTCTGTTGCCTCCAGCCTAATCCACACCCCTGTTGTCTTTCATCAGTTCTGCTGAGGTAGCCCCACAGCTGACTGGTCTCCTTGCCTCCGTTCTGTCCTCCTCTTAGCAGCAAGAGCAGTTGTTTGGACATTATCAGTAAACTTACCCCTTCTTTCATTTTTTATTTTCTTCACTGTCTGTAAAAATGAAGACTCATTTCCTGTTTTTTCCTCTCAGACTTTATTATGAAATTTTTTGAACCTCAGAAAACTTGTGAGAATAGTAAAAGTAATGCCATTGCTCCAGCATCTAGATTCACCAATAAAATTACTAAATGTTGTATTTGCTTTCTCTCTCTTTCATGTGTAGATGTGTATATGTCTGTGTGTATATATGGATACACACATACCTGAGAGATGAAGCAAATGTAATAAAATTCAAAAATTATACACACATGTATACATATATTTGCATTTCTTTGCAGAGTCATTTGAGAATAAGTTGTTGACATCTTGACCCCTAAATACCTACGTACTTTAGCATTTATCTCCTAAGAATAAGAACATTTTCCTCTATAACCACAATACAATCATAACATTTAATATTGATATAATAATATTATCTAATATAAAATCTATGTTCAGTTTTCTCCAGTTGTCCCCCAATTGTCCTTGTATCTTCTTCTTTTTTCTTTTTTTCTTTGTGTATTCAGGATCCGATGAAGTATCACACATTGCTTTCAGTTGTCATTACTCTTTGGTCCTTTTAAAATCTAGAATAGTTCTCTAGCTTTCTTATTTTGTTTTCATGATATTGACATTTTACAAAATGTCCAAGCCAGTTATTTTCAGAATGTCCTTCCATTTGAATTTACCTGATTGCTTCTTCATGATTGGAATAAAAAGAAATATATCTGCCCCCATCCAATTCCGTTCTTCCAGCATCTCATTGAGATTACAGTCTGAAGAAGCTGATACTGGGGTCTTAGGTTTGCAGATGAGGAAACTGAAGCATAGGTACATAGCTTGCCTCGGGCAACACAGGAGCCCAAGTTTTGAAGGAGGAAGTTACTCTTCAAGCCTGTGGTCCTCTTGAATTCCTTATGAACAGAAGTCATCCTCATTAGCTGCCCCTCAAAATCTGAGATACCCAGTGGTCCAGTTTTACCACAGGGTTCTACTGAAAGGAAGAACTTCTAGCATCAAATGATTAATTGAAAATGAGTAAACTTCATGGTTTGTTTAGTAAGCAAAAAATATGTGTATTCACCTAATGTTCTCATGTTTTTCCAACGTACTTCTAGCTCTTATTCCCTGAAGCTCCCCCAAAACTCCATATTCTCCTTACTTTCCAAATTCCTAAAACGTTTTCTCAGACCTTGTAACTCTCTCTCTTTTACACTTTTAGATCAGCTCTTTCTGGGTTCGTAAGGTTTCAGTCTTTCACTGCTCATTATTCAGAACTTGCATGATAAAAGAGAGCTTACAAATGACCCACAAAGCAGGGTCCCTTCTCCTGGAGGGGAGGGAATGTGGGGGAAGTGGGAAGGAAGACTAAGCATTCATTTTTCCTATGGGTTCCTTTTTAATCTTGTTATTTTTTGATACTTTTTAAGTTACATTATAGTACACAATTGATTTAAATACAGTAAAGTGAACAAATCAGATGTGCATAGATTGATTAATTATTATGCAACACAGAACATCTGAGAACCCCCCAGAAGTCTTCCATTCACCCTTCCAGTAAATATCTATTCCCAACCCCCCAAATCAAACACAAACCCCTATCACAACAGATTAATGTTGTCTGTGTTCAGACTTTATGTAAATAGACTCTTATAGTATATGCTCTTTTTTTCTTTTTTTTTTTTTAAGATTTTATTTTTTTAAGTAATCTCTGCACCCAACATGGGGCTTCAACTCATGACCCCAAGATCAAGAGTTGCATGCTCTTCCAACTGAGTCAGCCAGGTACCCCTAGTATGTACCCTTTTACGTATGAATTATTCAACATTATGTCTATGTTGCAGAACTTTTTCATTATTGTATGGTAGTCATTAAATGAATAATCCACGATTCATCCATCCTACTCATGATAGACATTTAGGTTGTTACCAGTATGTGACTATTATGAATACAGCTGCTCTGAGCATGGACAAAAGCTTTCATTTCTGTTAGATATATACCTTGAAATGGAGTTGTAAGTTCATTGGATAAAACTGTAGTATCAGTAAATATTGGCAAACTAAAATTTAATCTTTGTTTTTCTGTTTCATATACCTAAATCTGTTGTACAGTTTCTCTTTCTTAGTAAGCACCTAATAAAATGGGTTACTATTGAAACGTGGACATTTTGGCCAATATTCTCAATTAACACACATATAGAAATGTATTGGTTGTAACAATACCCTCTCTTTATTTACATAGATCATTGATCCTTTTGTTGAAGTTGAAATTATTGGATTGCCAGTAGATTGTTGTAAAGATCAAACCCGTGTAGTAGATGACAATGGTAAGATGATAATCTATTTCCTTTTAATCAAGAGGCTCTAGAAATAAAATTTGCACTGAAAAAGAAAAATTTGTCTATGTAGAAGAGAAACAGATCCCTAAGATTCATAACTGCCATCTGAGTTTATGGTAGTCTTTTAAACACATAAAACTGAGTAAATGTGGGATTGATGCATGGTAGGTTTTGGGGGATTTGTAATCTAGGCTCTTAAATTCTTTGCTTTTGAAGCAAAACCTTTTTCCTAATGAGGAGAATTAATGGTATTTTAAAGGACTGGGTTAAAACTTAGGAAAATGCCTCCATTACATTTTTGTATTGTATTTTCATGATGTAAGTTGCTTTAGAGCTCTCATTCGTGATGCCTGTATGTCTTGATTATTTTTCATTCTTTTTCTGGAATGTGTAAAACTCTATAAAGGCAAGTGTAGCATGTTCGGGCAAGTTTACTTCTTAATATGTCCATGTGGTGGATGGGCGGCATTCTTGTATTCTGGCCATGATATAAAAAAAGCTTTCTTAACCTAAGCCTCATGGTGTTTGTTCACACATTTGACAAACATTATGGCATACCTATTTTTCTCAATCTCTAGTCATTAATACTCTAAATCTAAATCACAATCTTCAAAACATTTAAGAAATTAGAGGTTCATAGTGAGACCTTAAGAGGAGTTTTTCTTTTTTTTTTATTTAAATTCAATAAGCCAACATTTTGTACATCACTAGTTTCAGATTCTTTTTTTTTTTTTTTTTTAAGATTATTTGAGAGAGAGAGTGAGCGCGAGCATGAGCAGGGGGAGGGGCAGAAAGAGAGGGAGAGACAATCCCAAGCCAACTCTGCACTGAGTGCGAGCCAGATGCAGGGCTCAATTCTGCCACCCCAAGGTCATGACGTGAGCCAAAATCAAGAGTCAGACACTCAACCAACTGAGCCACCCAGGCACCCCATTAAGAGGAGTTTTTCTAAGTGCTAACTTAAGGAAAGGAATTTGGGGATTCAAGAGTAACATAAACCTATTACTTTAGGAAATAACATGCTTAAAGGACGCAGACTTCCTATATTGCATTTTCCCACCAATGGGCATTGTTTTGTTTTTGTTTTTGTTGTTTGTTTGTTTCTTAATTGAGAAGTCATTACTAAGATAACAAAAACACAATCTCTTCTCTTGTTTAGAAGGGACATTTCAGTGATTTCAGTCTATAATTATTTCCTTAGCTGAGATATTTTAAAGTAAGATTAAGTAGCTGATGCCTCCTGAATACATGTATTTAATAAAATTTATTTTCATTTTTAGAAAAGAAAAACAAACTTAGAGAGTACTTGAATTTTTATCAGTTTATGTAATTATTTTATCCGAGAAAATTTTATCAAGAAATAAATGTATTTTTACCTTTCAGAATATGAGTTGAATTACATATCTTTATATTTATTTTCAATAGCTATGAAAATGTATCTTCCATGTATTAAGGTCTTGTTTCGTGAGAAGGCACTGGAAAACAATAGTGCACAGTCTAATTTGGCTCTCTAACGAGCTGTGTGACCTTAGGTACATTATTTTCTCTGCATATCAATTTTCTCAACTACAAAATGACTTATAAATACTTGCATTTCTTACTTTAAAAAAAGCATTTGTTACTTGCGTAATTTTTTAAGAAATTATATAGTTTTGAAAGCTAATCATAATGTATTTTTTTCTTAATTAGAAAATAAACCACAAAAACCTTGCCTTGCCATCCTTAGAGGGTTGCTATAAGAATTAAATAAGATGCTATATGTACAGTAGCAGCATTGAAACCTACATAGCACCTTATAAGATGTTCATAGCAGTAGAATCTTTTGTGGGTGAGAAGCAGGATTCTTTATTTTTCTGGCAAGGTGGGAACTTTCTTTCTCTTTCTTACTTTTTTTTTGCTAAAACATTATTCTTAGATCACTACTAAAGATATTTTTTGAGTTTATTGAAGCGTTCTGAAATTGCCTAAAGGAACTTCCCCTACAATGCAATTTGGGCATCAAAGATTATTAGAATTGATGTAATCATTTACAGGCAATCTTCCTACCAATTATTTTCTAGCAATGGGGCGAATTCCAAGACTTTATTTCAGTAAGGCATCCTGGAGTTGCTTGGTCATCTTCACGAGTTTAATAACCATTGCAAGCAATTTTCAGTCTGCTTTGCAGATGTTGCTGCCAATTCATTTTTAGCCAAGCCCTTTGCTTTTCTGATTTTTCTCTTCCTATTTCTCTGAGGATTTAACCCTGTGTGGGAAGAAACCCTGACATTTACAGTACACATGCCAGACATAGCTTTGGTTCGGTTCCTGGTGTGGGATCATGATCCAATTGGACGAGACTTCGTTGGACAAAGAACTGTGACCTTCAGCAGCTTAGTGCCTGGTAGGTAGGGGCTGGCCTTTCCTCTCTAGGCTGACCATTCAGTTTTCTTTGGAAGGTTTAATATAGGATATGTGATATGTGTGGTATATAAAATATGTGTTATATGCATGTTAACATGTTTTGTGAAATGTAAAGAATTATAGTAAAGTCAAATACTTCATTTAGTTGCACCCATGGGAAAGCCAAATATAAGTCCAAGTTAAAGGAAACTATTTTCTCTGATTTTCTCAGGCTACCGGCATGTCTATTTGGAAGGACTGACAGAAGCATCTATATTTGTCCACATAACAATCAATGAAATCTATGGAAAGGTGAGAAAGATTGTAGGGCTTAAAGCCACATGTGACAATAATATGGTCCTTTTCAAAGTTATTTTTTTGACTAATCGCTTAAAAGGCACATACATCTTGACAAAGTTGTTCTTTAGCAGAAAACTAGCGAGAAGCCCAGCGAGCCCCATGTGCTAAGCCTGTCAGGTCCTGTCCTGATCCGTATGTGCTCCTTCCCTTGTTTTGGGGTGTGGAAAAAGCTAATCTCTCAGATGGTCCTTTGTTTCACTACAAGAATAAATATATACTTAAACATTGAATTTTATTTTAAGAAGACCTAGCCGGCTGCAGCAGGAAACGGGGCGTCTCAGATGTCTGACGGATTACCAGTACTAACCAGACTGTGATTCCAGCCAGTGATTCATTCATTTGGTGCCATTGTATTTAGCTGAAAACCTAAAACTCCACAAATGCATTTAAAGCCACCCACAGGACTTTTAAGGACGTTATAAGGATTTTCTTTTAAGAAATAGACTACAAAAATGTATTCTAGTTTTCTCCTGATGCGACTCTTCATTACACAACTCATTTGAGGTTTACAAATCAATAGGCTGTCTTAGTCATGCCAAGTAACTGGGGACTTGGCCACTGGAATGAATTTCCGGGGCCAGGTGTGATTTGGAGGGACTGTAAGAGTCTTGGCTAGCACCTAGGAATGTCCAGTGCTCTATATTAGAAAAGTCTGCATTGCTTGGAGTTTCTCCTGTAGATTTATAGGCATTCTCTGTGCATTAGCTTCCTCATCTGTAAAAGGGTAAAAATATTACCCATCTCATAAAAAACCACATTATCCTTAGAAAGCTGCCTGCCTGGCATATAGGAAATGCTCAAAAATGTTGGCTAATATTAATGTTATTGGGACTACAAGCCAATTTCTAGGGAGTGGACCAGTGCAGGCTGAATTAGGGGGTATAATGTTTCTCCTTACAGCAGTCGGTATGGGAGGGGCACTAAGGATTCTAATTTCTAAGAGTAATGAAGTTTTATTCTATGACTTTGTGTGTTTAGTCCTCGGTTTTTGCCTGTGCTGCTTGTTGTGATGCTTTCTCTGGCATAAATGCACACAAATGTGAATGACTGAAAATGATTCTTGAACTTCTAGGGATCCCAGGTTAGCTAAGTAGTATCTCTAGCATTTATCCTGCTTGAAGGAAACAATAACATTCAGAATTTATTTAAAACTTGAGCCAGAAAGGAATTAAAATATGAAGAAGAGAGTGTTCTGTAGGATTTCCTTTCTCCTAAATAGATGTCTACGTCTAAGTCACATTATATGTTACTTTCAAGGTGTATTTGGGTTGGGATGCATAAACCACATTGTGGCGGTGACGAGTTGAGTAATGAATGAACCTGTGACTAGAAATCACCGAAGGTGGAAGAAAGGGTTTATAGAAGCATATGCATTCTTGACTTTTGTTGTTACTTGTGCCACTTTCTTGAATGAGCCCAAATTGTGTTCTGTTGTGTTTTGTTTTCTTCCCTTGCAGTGGAGCCCCTTAATACTCAACCCCAGTTACACTATATTGCACTTTCTAGGAGCTACAAAGGTAGTTTCTCAGCATGGTGCCTTGTTCTTGCTGACATATTTCTTTTTAAATGGTTATGGCAGCATGCTCCCTCATATCACTCCATTCCTTGCTTCCCACTTTGAAACGTGCATCTGTTGCTTTAAGGTGGCTGAAGTTCATAGCAGTCTGTTAAGTGTGGAAACTTTTCCTATCTCCGGGTAGGAAGCTTCTGGGTAGCTTGGTTGCAAAAAGGGAAGGCTGCCTGCTCACAAAGTAAGGTTAATAAGGCGTGCATGATGTTGTGCAGACATGCTGTGAGCTGCTGTTTTCTCGGTTTGAATATCCTTCAATGCTGTACAATTTTGTTTTGCATCCATTTCTCATGGAGCTGTCATTTAAAAGGCAAGTCGTTGACACAATGGGATTTGCTTAACTCGCACTTCCTCCTTTTGTGTCTTCAGAACAGACAGCTCCAAGGTCTGAAGGGATTGTTCAATAAGAATCCCAGGCATGGTTCATCAGAAAACAATTCCCATTATGTTCGGAAACGATCGATTGGAGATAGGATTCTGAGACGCACAGCCAGTGCTCCGGCCAAAGGCAGAAAAAAGAGCAAAATGGGCTTCCAGGAAATGGTAGAGATAAAGGATTCTGTGTCTGAGGCTTCAAGAGATCAAGCCGGTGTCCTGAGGAGGACCACACGGAGTTTGCAAGAGCGCCCTGTCTCTTTGCCTGTTGACAAAAGTCTTCTGGGGGCTTTGTCACTGCCTATATCTGCAACAGCAAAAGACGCTGAAGGAAAAGAACACTCCCTGGGTAAGATGCTTTAAGTTTCTCTAAGAATAACTCTTTCGAAGTCGTATTTTGGTCCCCGATTACAATTATGACCTGGTTGACATTTTATAGTCAAAGTAAAAATATACTAAAAAATAAATAATTTTTCATGTTAGCATTAGAACAGATTTTAAACTTCAGGGAGGGGGGAAGAACTATTTCCTAGTCACCTAAAGCCTTAAAATAACATCAACATTTGAAATTGATAGTGAGAGATAAGGGGAATAATCAGGTGTGAAAGGTATGGAGGCCGGGGGTCTGTGAGGTGCCCTCAAGGGAGGTGAAACAGGCAAAACGGGAGCAGAGATCTTGGTTTTCCAAGTGGGTGTAATATTTACTGATTGTTCTGCAGTTAAATAGAATTATATTGGTTTTTGTTTTGTTTTGTTTTAGATTGAATAGAGTTGTATTTCTTTCCCCAACATATAACACATTTCCATGATTAGAAATGTTTTATGGAGAAAGAAGTCAAGCCAAATGTTAAAAGCAAGCCATCTTCTTCACTTGAGAAATCTTTGCTTCCTCAAGAGATGGCTCAGGCAATGTTTTCCTATGGCCTCATTTCCCCGATCCCTGGATGCTGGCAGGGAAGGAAGCATGTCCTCGGCACCTGTCCAGTTACAGGCTCCTCAAGCATACAGATCAAGCCTTACTTGTCTTTTCCCCTAATCTGAGCATAATGCTTCACTCATACCAAGAACTTGATAAAAGAATAATGCCTGCTTTGCAAGGTACCAGAGAGCTCCTGAGTTGTGTTAGTGACTCTTGCCCCTCCCTGCCCTTGGTAATGGAAGTACCAAAACTCTGTCCATTTAATGGGTCCTCACAACGAAAGTGTTTTAATTAAATCAGGATCATCTCAGACAAACATGATATCTGTTTACTTTAGGAAAATTCTCCTTTTATCATACAGTCTAAATTTCAATGTTCTATCTTTTCACAAACTCCATTTTGCTTATATTGATTTTTATTATAAGATATTCTAGGGAAACAAATGAATTTTTGAATGGCTTATTTGAAGAGAAAAAGGAAGTTGAAAAGTTTGAACATTTGCTAAGAGCAGTGTCAGAGAAGAGGTGAAATATGTGCTTTTAAGTTTATTTCAAAATCCCATTTTGGGAGAAAATAAAGCTCTCCTCAATAGAAATAAATACTGGTTAATCCAGAAAGCACTATTGAGTTGATGCGTATTTCCTCCCTTTAACAACTTTATAAGTTTGTCATTCTCATTTATATTATATGAGACTTGTAAATATAGAACAAAGCCATGCAATGATTCAAGTTATAGCGTAGGAAAAAAAATAAGTGGAGAAAATACAGAATACAAAATTCCATATATAATTCTGTCCCTCTAAAAGAGCTTAAAGTAGCTATCTCTGAGTGGTAACATCATAAGATATTTGATTTTTTTCTTTATAATTTTTGGATTTATCAAACTTTTTATGATGAATTTTTCTCTAGTTAGGAAGATATTTAATAAGTTAAATAAATTCTTCTTTCTTATATATCCTGACTGAAAACATTAAAAAAACAATTAAAATAATTAGAGCAAAAATAATTGAACATTTGATACTGTCTTAGCAATATCCTAAGCATGATGGGGTACCCCAAATTCCTGTGAATTGTGTGTTTTTATAGATTTCCATACTGTGCCTGATAACTTACTGCCTCTTTTAGGGGAGAATGCAATATGAAATTTGCATATTAAAAACAAAAATATGATTAAGAAAAAATTAGATATTAACAATGGCATAGAATTGGTGACCGCATCTTTATTTTTACATCTCAAAGTCAATAGATACTGGTATTTTAATACATTTGTTGCACCTTCCAATCTGCTTTAGAAACTGATTAAATTAGTTCTTTTGCCAAAGTGTTTTTTTTTTTTTTAAATAATATGGTTTGCGATTTTTACTAATCCATGTGTAACTTTGAAAGCTTGTAGTATCTTGCTTACAGGTACCACAATACTTTGTTTAACAGAACTGTCTTGTTCTATTTTTATTGCCATGCTTCTGTGTAGTACAAATCTGAATAGGAAACAACTTAAGGTAATCCTCACTGTAAAAGTATGGTAACTCATTGACATTTTTTTTTGACAATGAATATTACATCCTTAGCTGATGTAATAGATACTCAAAGGGAAGCTTCAGTGAAATTCCTATAAATATATTTTACCATTTATTCATCACACGGACACTTTGTTGCAAACCTCTGCAATCCATAACTATATCCTGTCACGATGTAACAGACTTACATTCTCCATTTGTCTGTCTGAAGACAAACATGAGTGTTTGTAGGGCCTACAAAAAGTGATACATATTACCTAAAATGTTGTTTGTTTCATTCAGCAGAAGATAAGGATGGAAGAAGAAAAGGGAAGGCAAGTATAAAAGACCAGCATTTTCCAAATTTCAACAAAAAGTTATCCTCTTCCTCTAGCGCCCTCCTCCGCAAAGACATCGGCCAAGGGGGCTCCACCATCTCTGTTGCCAACACGCCAATCCCGGGAGAACAGTTGGGAGTGCCAGGTCTTACGGGTGGGAGAACCAAATCGAATGTATCAGGTGATGGCCGGGAACAGGAGTGTGCCGGCAAATCCCTCTTGCCAAGGCAGCTTTTGGCTCCTGATCCTACAGTTACCCTGACACAGGGTCCACGCGGTGTGAAAACCAAGGCAAATGGGAACGCTGGGGGCTTTGTGGAAGAAAAAAGCACATTGTCGGGAAGCATTTTTTCTCAGAGCAACCTGGAGATTAAGAACTTGGAAGGGAATTGGGTTAAGGACCAAGCTGCAACATCCTTTTCTTTGTCAGATGTCTCTACGCTCTGTTCTGACATACCTGCCTCACATTCTACTGCCATTCTGCAGGAGACTGACATTTCCCATCTTATTGACAATGTCACATTAACCAATGAGAATGAGCCGGGCAGTTCCATTTCAGCACTGATTGGCCAGTTTGAGGAGACCCATGATCAGGCAAACCTCACAGTTGTTTCTCAGCTCCATAGCACCAGTGTCATGTCAAGTCATCCTCCCTTGCCCACCTTGGACCGAAAGATTCCCTTCAAGCATGACTTTTCCACGGGAAAACCCAAGTCATCCTTCCTGTGCTCATCTCCTGCCCCGATTGCATTCTCAAGTCCTGAGACCTCCAAACACTCAACACACGCAGTCTGTGAAACTACCTGCATTCCTCTCTCTAAAGCCAAACCAGATGACGGCCTTCCTGATAAGGCCAAGACAGGGGCTCTGGAAAACAACCTGCCTGGGTCCTCTCATACTTCTCACTGCTGGTTACCAAAAAGTCCCACCAATGGCAAAGAATGGGAGATGTTGAAGAACCACAGCCCTATCACTTCCACCAACTTGGCACTGGAGGATGTAATGGCTGAAACCATTCTCTGTTTAAATTCTGCAGAGAGCAGTCTCGTGGAAATGGACGGAGATTCAGAAAATCTGTCCCTAACAACCTATGAATATAGAAGAGAGGATGCAAGCCACTCTGCTTCTCCTTTAAAACCACAGTATGGTCAGGATGTGGCAGAACATTTTCAAAGAGGTTTGAGAAATGGCTACTGTAAAGAGACTCTCCACCCTTCTGTCTCTGAAATATTCAACAATATTCAAGATGTCAAAAATCAAAGTATTTCTTGTCTAGCCTATCAGGGCGCTGGTTTAATGCACAACAACTGCTCAAATTCAGACGCAAAAATGAACCAGACCTGTGTGCCCCTGTCTAGTGATGAAGGCATGCATGCCCCTGCGCCCAAGCAGCCCACGCATCCTCCTCTGCCTGCTCTGAAGCTGCCCAGCCCTTGCAAATCCAAAAGTCTGGGGGACTTAACATCAGAGGACATCGCCTGCAACTTTGAAAGCAAGTACCAGTGTATTAGTAAGAGTTTTGTTACAACCGGCATTAGGGACAAGAAGGGCGTGACCGCGAAGACAAAGTCCTTAGAGCCCATAGACGCCCTGACCGAGCAGCTGCGGAAGCTTGTGTCTTTTGACCAGGAAGAGGGCTGTCAGGTGCTCTGTTCAAAGCAGGATGCCAGTCAATTCCCCAGGGCACTGGTCAGAAAGTTGTCATCCAGAAGCCAGAGCCGAGTGCGCAACATTGCCAGCCGTGCCAAGGAAAAGCAGGAGGCCAACAAGCAGAAGGGCGTCAACCCCAGCCACGTAGGTGGAGTGGTTCTGCGAAACAAACCCTCGGCGCCCCTGCCTGCGGGCACCCGGCACTCCACGGGCTCGTACATCGCTGGCTACCTGCGGAGCGGCAAGGGGGGCGGTGTGGAAGGCCGCGGCATCCCGGAAGGGGCGTGTGCCGCCTTGCGCCCCGGCTACGGCGACCCGTTTTGTTCCGATAATTCCATTTTGCAGACCGAGCCCAGCAGTGAGGATAAACCAGAAATTTATTTTCTTTTGAGACTGTGAATTACATAAAGCTGCATTTTCAGTGTTTACAAGGTATTCTGTAGAATTGTCAGAGTTTTCAGTAAACATGGTCTTGGCTTTGAAACGATTTTAAAATGTATTTTTAAACTTGTATTTTTGGTCTCCCCTTGACTCCATGTGTTCTTCCCGTTTCTGCATTTGTATATAGATCGGGGTGACATTTCCCTGGTGCGTATGATCTTTCTCCCCTGAAGTGTAAACGCTCTCAGTATGAAATACGTGCATGCCTTGGTTGTGAAACTTCTCAGCAGTTTGGGTTACGATGTCCGTCTGTTTCTCCACCACACTCTCTACTCTCAGTCCTCAGATCACAGTCACAAATGTACTCAGTTTTACTAATTGTTGAGGTCATTAAGAAACTTTGCAAAGGACAAAGGGATAAATTCTTTATTTTAAAGCCATTATCATCATTCCTAGTTTTCCTTCTTCCTTGAGAAGCCCAGATGCATTTTTATAACTCAGTTAAAAGAAGATTAAAATAGTTACCCTACCTTTTAAGATTTCTTTACCCCATGCAGAATGAGTTCAAAGGAGATTGGTAGCTGCCCCCCCCCCAACACACACCCTCTCATTTTCGAGTAGGCTGTGAGGGTATAAGGATAAAGCAAACCTATGTATATAAAGACAAAATTGTTTGTTTTACATAAATTTTGTTACATATTTTTGCTAATGGCTTTGTATGTAACAAGAACACAGTCGCCAAACTATTTGTTGTACTTTTGAATTTTCTGATTAAATTATAGATGGCAAATAATGGCTTTCAGAATGAGGGACTTCTGTCAGACACTAACAGTAATAGTAGCACAGATTGAAAACATCCCCAAAACTGTCAAGCAAAAAAAAAAGAAAAAAAATATTTTCTCATAATAAAATCCAAGTAAATAGATAATTAGAAGAAACCTTTTCCCTTCATGGAGCTGAGTAACTATATTTTAGTACCAACATACATTATTTTCACTGTGAATCCATTTTTTTATTGCATGTTCAGATGTCCCTCTTTGCTTTTTTGTAATATTAACTGCAATGATGTTCTTCTTGGAATTCATGGAAATATAATTAAAGCAGATTTTTAAGCACTTGGTGAATATTTTTTTCCAGCTGAAGTTCATACGATGACTGCTGAGTAATTACAGGACCCAGAGCACTCAGAACTATTTTCCTTTTCATCTCTTCGCAGAAGAAGAGATAGTTTCTACAGGGGATAGTTTTAAGCAGCAATTTATGTCTCTGAGTGTTTTCATTAGGCTTTAAAGACCATATTTGTAAGGTGACTTGAAAAGAAATCAAACGTAATGAGTTTCTTTGCATTTTGTGTTGATATTGCTAGTTTAAAAATAATTCTCCCCAAATCCTGCCCTGGGGGTGGGGGCAGCCAAGATGCTGTGTTTGGCAAATCAGACCACTTGAAGGTTTGTCGTATGGGGGAAGAGTAGGGAGGAAAGCAATCAGACCCGTATTACCCTCAGTCCCCAACTCTGAACTTTGCCCCAGTGCTGAGGATCTTCCTCTCTTTGGACAAACCCTAGGATGCTGGTTGGGGTAGAAGTGTAATGGTGAAAGGGAGAGGGACCCAGTTTCATTCCTTTACTGAACCTGAGAGACTTTTGGTTTCTTGGGGGTTCGGAACCCACAAAGTTCTATCCTTAGGTCTTGGCTTGTTTTTAAAGAGATTGACATCATGTAAAGTTGTTGAAATTCATTTGCAAAAGCATAGACTTTAGCTGCCTTGTTTGGTGGAATCAGTATTCTTTAAGAAAAAATCCAGGAGTTTACATTTGGATGTCAACCCTATTTCAGAGTGATTTAGTAGTGACATAAATGGTTGGTGCCAAGTGTAATACAAGTATTCTTCTACTGATAGGACTTAGGAAAAGAGGAGAGAATGACTTCGTGATTACTATTTGGAGATTGCTAATAAAGAAGAGGAAGCAGTGATGCTTAAATTTTAGTACAAGCTTTCAGTGTTCGGATTGGACTCCTGATCAGGGTTTCACTTGTTTGGAGGACCGATCAGGGACTCGTCAGTCCCAAGGAAATCACACAGCAAGTGAGAGCTCAAGCATATATTAACAGGTTTTCTAATTTTCTTTTGAGAGCTAGCAGGGAGCCCCCAGTCTCTGCAAAGTCTGACTAGAGCAAGCCCTGTGAAGTGTCAAAGTTTCCCACTTGACTACTTTCTTAGAGGCTAGATAGATAGACTATTCCAAGGCTGAGCAGCAACAGGTGGCTAGGAGAGTTGCTTGCGACAGTAACAATATCCACAGAGGGCGGAAGTAAAGCTTCTTAATATTTATATTAAACCATCTTAAAACCCTTTAGTGGATCCCCCAGATGTATGAAATAAGGTTCCGTAGCCTTGCATATAAGGTCTTCTTTGATTTGGTGCCCTTGTCTGTTTTGGTCTCCTCTGCCTTAGAATGCCCTTTCCTCCTTTGCTCATTACATTTTCCAAGACATATCCTGGAGGATCCTTTATTCTAGAGAGCCTTTTCTGATTGTCATCTCCTTTTCCCTAGTTGTACCCAACCCATTAGGAATTACCCAAATTTGCCAAGGGGAGGAGGGCTTCGATTCCACTCAATGTATCAATCTGTACACATGTCTGTCTCTTCCACTAGACTTAGACTTCTCTGAGGACAGGGGTTGTACCTTGTGCCTTTTTGCTAGCTCCAGGCCTGGTACCTATTTGCATTGGGTAAGTATTTGATAAATTGGTGAATAAGGGAACTTGAGGAAAATGTGAGAGAAAGCATGTGTCTAACATCTATTGTGTGCATGGGAGGAGGAAGAGGTACAGAATCTTGTTCCAAGTCATTTGAATGGGGATGGCTGAGTTTATCTTTGTTTTCCTTTAATTTTCTTATCTCCTTGTTTCCATCTGGCCCTTCCTTCCTTTTCTCTCCCTTTTATTGTAGTATCTATTTGGTCATTGACCATGAGTAAGAGTAGCTGATTTTTTGGGGGGAAAGCATTATGCAACTTAAAAATGCTTACAGGTGGCACATCTCATTGGGTCCTTACAGCAGTTTCACAAAGACATGAGGTCATCTCCATTTTATGGATTCCGAAAATGAATCTCAGTGAACATGTGATTTGCCCAAGGTCATAGGGAATAGGAAATAGCCAAGCAAGGTTAATCCAACTCCTCCATTGGTCCTCTTTCTCCTACCCACCATTGCTTTTCCTGAAGACTTTGATAAACATTTAGTGACATCTCCTCTGGGCTAGGCATTCATCTGGGTGCTAGCATTATAGCAATAGGGATTTGTCTTTAGGGAGCCACAAGCTGATAGAGATGCTGAGACGTAATATATTGGTTTTGTTCCAAATGTCCAAACACTTAGAAACTTACTACATATGGTAGTTGAAAATATAAGGAAAGAATTATAAGGTTATGTTGCTGTACATATGATAGCCATGAATACCCCACTTTAAAAAATTAGTAAGTTTTATTTTTTAAGCAGTTTTAAATTCACAGCAAAATTGAGCAGGAGGTACAGAGATTTCCCATATACCCTTCCCTCATACACACAACTTCCTCCACTATTTACATCACCCACTACAGTGGGTACATTTATTATAATTTATAACCCACATTGACACATCATTATCCCTCAAAGTTCATAGTTTGCATTAGAGTTCACTCTTGGTATTGTACATTCTGAGGGTTTTGATGAATGTATACCAAGTATCCACCATTGCAGTGTCATACAGAATAGTTTTGATGCCCTAAAAATACTTTGTGTTCCGCCTATTCATTCCTACCTGCACAAACCCTGGAAACCATTGTCTCTTCACTGTCTCCATTAGTTTTACCTTTTTTATAATGTCATATAGTTGGAATCATATAGCGTGTTCATACTGGCTTCTTTCACTTAGTAATATGCATTTAAATTTCTTTCATGTCTTTTCGGGGTGTGATAGCTCTTTTTAGTGCTGAATAATATTCCATTGTCTGGATGCACCATAGTTTATTGATTTACCTACTAAAAGACATCTTGGTTGTTTCCAAGTTTCAGCAATCGTGAATAAATTTGCTGTAAATATCCATGTGTAGGGTTTCTTTAAAAAAAAAAAAGATTTATTTATTTTAGAGAGAGAAAAAGAGTGGGCACATGAGCAGGGGGATGGGTGGAGGGAGAGGGAGAGTGGCAGACTCTCCACTGAGTGCAGCGCCCGTCAAGGGGCTGGATCTTACCACCTTGAGGTCATGACCTGAGCTGAAACCAAGAGTTGGATGCTTAACCAACTGAGCCACCCAGGTGCCCCTGTGTGCAGGTTTTTGTATAGACATAAGTTTTCAGTTCATTTTGGTAAATACCAAGGAGAATGATTACTAGATCCTATGGTATAAGAGTATGTTTAGTTTTGTAAGAAACTTCCAAATTGTCTTCCAAAGTGGCTGTACTATTTTACATTCCTGCTAGCAATGAAGAAGGGTTCTTACTCCACCACATCCTTGCAAGTATTATTATTTTCCTTCAGTATTGAGTTGGTTGTTCTGGGTCTTCAGATTTTCATATAAGCTTTAGAATCAGTCTGTCAATGTCCACCAAATAACTTTCTGGGATTTTGATTGGGATTATGTTGAATCTATAGATCAAGTTGGGAAGAACTGACATGTTGGCAATATCGAATCTTTCCATGAACATGCAATATCTCTCCATTTATTTCATCCTCTTTAGATAGCTTTCATCAGAGTTTTATAGTTTTTCTCATATAGATCTTCTCCATATTTTGTTAGGTTTATACCTAAGTTTTTCATTTTTGGGGGTTGCTAATATAAATGGTAGTATATTTTTAATGTCAAATTCTATATGTTCATTCCTGGTAGAAGGAAAGCAGTTAACTTCTGTATATTAACCTTGTATCCTGCAACCTTGCTGTAATCCCTTATTAGTTCCAAGAGGCTTCTCCCCCACCCCAATTCTTTCAGATTTTGTAACATAGACAATCATGTCATAAAACAAAGAGTTTTA